CGTGTCTGTTTACCACCTCCCGACCACTTCTTTCTTGAGAGGGCGACATGTCTGTTTATTCATGGCTTTTCCTTGTTTACCTCAATTTACTTGCTGCAAACTGATTTCCCTACAGCAATGTTTAAGTTTCACACCTTTCCTGTCACCTGCTCATTTTCTCTCCCATCTTTTTTATCCACTCCTTCCATCCATCAATCCACCTGTTTCTTTGTCTGTCTTTAATGACTCTATCACCTTCTCTGTCTCTTTCTACGTCTCCTGTCCCTTCATTCTTTTCTTCTCTGTGTCACTCCTCTCTCTCTACTCTGTTTTTTCTCTCTGTGTGTAATCATACAAGCATCCATCTCCTCTCATCAATCTACCTCGTCACTTCTCCCCCTTTAAACTACCCCTCCTCCTCCCCTCCCCTTTTAATCACTCCATCCCATCCTCCTGCTCGTCTTCCTCTCTCTGTTGCCAGGGAAACAGCGGCCCATTCTGTAGCTGTTAATCCGGTGACATTGTCTTTCTATTACCTGAGGGTCAGATGCCTGATAAGGAGGACAACGTGTGGGAAACCAAAGAGTGAGTGATTTTAAATGTTGGCAAAATGTTGGTTTTGGTTAACAAAGCCTGCAGTGACAGAACAGCCAGCAGGGGAAATGTGACTGTGGTAAACAGATATTCTCACTCATCAAATCTGCGGGGATATAAACAACCTAAACCAGCAGCAGACCTGCAATAAATCCTCTCTTTGTGGGAGTTTTTTGTTTTTTAGACACCATCAGACAAGAGCTGATTCAACCCTATGGTCGTTGTGTTGTGGCTGCGTCACAGTTGCCTTTAGGCTATATTAAATATCCTGGAGTCTTTTACGCTTCATCCACACATACGCACTCAAACGCTGGAGACGTAACAGGATACGAGTCACAAGGTGCATTTTCAGTTTGATTATAAAGAAAAAACCTGAATGTAAACTTATGGAGGACCAGTGATGTCACAGGAAAAGTAATAAAGCATTTCCTTAATTTCAAATTTTAACTATTAAGAATCAATAAATAGTTGAGATTTAAAAATTGATTAATAAGCAGTCATAACCAGTCATACCATATCCATAGGGTTTTACCAGCACTAAAGGCCAGAGTGTCACGGAAAGGCTAAATGGAGAAGTTAAATGACTAAGCAAATTGTTTATTGAGTATTTTATGCTGTTTTTTGTAAATCAATTTTTAAATCTGAAATATTCATTGATGGATTAATAGCTCATTTATAAATCCTTTTTACAATTCCTATTTTTAATGCCTATTAAAATATGACATTAAGGAAATGTTCCATTACTTTTCCTGTGACATCCCTGGTCCTCCATAGCAACTTTAGAAAAACTTATTATTTTGTTACATATTCAAAATAAAATGATAAAATCACAAAAAATGGATGCGTTCGGTTGAGACAGAAACATTGGTGTATCGATGAAAGTGAGGTAAATACCCATTTACCCATTCATTTCATCCTCATTAAATGTTTCTCTACTCTTCCTCCAATGCGTTCTTCTCCCTCTCTCTTCTCCCAAATTCTTTCAAATTTCTCTCTTACTTTATTCCTCTCTCTCTCCCTCCCTCTCTCTCTCTCTCTCTCTCTCTGTAGAAATCAATGGTTGTTCTCTAAATAGGAGGTCACGGGGGTTGCAGGCGCTTGCGTCCCGGCTTTTCAATTACTAGCAGCCTGCAGTCACCACAACACACACACACACACACACACACACACACACACACACACACACACACACCTTTGGTCCTGAACAGCCCTTCCCCCCAGAGCTGCTGGGCCAACAGAAAAAAAGAACAGAGTAAAAAGAAAAGATTTCAGAATTAAAAGGAAAACGATTTGGGTGCCGAAAAGAGAGGAAAGAAAGAAAGAAAGAAAGAGGTGAGAGGAAACACGTCAGTTATAGAGGAGAGGTAAGATGGGAAGATCGGGATCAGAAAGGAGACATGAGGAGAGAAACAGCAGAGGCCTTTCTGTCTGTCCATATTTAGCAGGTGCGTGACTTCATAGGCTCAGAGCCGAATACTCAGTCACTTTACACTGGTGAGCCCAAACATTATGACCACACCTGCCAAAACTGTTCTGATGCAGAGCAGCATGCACTCAACAAGACTTCTGCAGGTGCTCTGTGGTACGTTAGCAGCAGGTCAGACTTTCTCCAGCACATAACCAAACACCCTGTGGCTGGTTCCCGCCAGCACCCACCACCTCTGACCAGGAGCACCCCGACCCAGTCGCCTGACCATAACAACGTGTCAGAGCTGCTCTGGTCTTCACACACCCAAAAACGTTGACTCCCAGAACTGACTGGTCACTTTCCATGTCCCAGACCTTGACATGCACCATTAGGAGAGAATCGCTATTCACTTGATCTGTGAGTGTGAGAGGTAAGGCATGGAAGGAGAAGAGGAGCTGAGAGAGGAGAAAAAAGAGGAGGAGAGAGGTGAGGAAAAAAGGACAGAGAGAAAAGGATACAAGAGGAGAGGACACGAGGGGAGGAAAAAAAGGGAGGAGAGGAAATGAGAAGAGGAGGCAAGGAGATAACGAGATAAAAGAGGAGAGGTGGATGAAGAACATATCTCAGGAAAAAAGAGAAAACTAGAGAAAACAAAGAGACAAGGGAAAAAAGAAGAGATGAAAAGGAGGTCAGGGAGGACAGGAGAAAAGGTGAAGAGAAAAAAGAACAAGCTGAAATGGAAAGAGGAATTGTAGCTGGTTCAGATGAGGAAGAGGGGGGGAGAAAAGGTAGGTGGGGGGTGGGGGGGTGGAGGAGGGGGTTGTTCACCCAGCCCAGCGCCCTCAGGGGTTATTGGGTCGTGGACAGCCAATCTCTCTCAGCTTAATCAACAGCAGCAGAGGTGATTGCAACACCGCAGGGGACTGCTGGGAAAAAAAGACAGAGGGAGGGGGAGGAGGAGAGATGGAGGGGGAGAGAACGAGATAGGAATGAATGGGAAGGTGTGTGGGGTGGGGTGGGGTGGTGGGGGCTGTGCTGTAAGATGAGGAAAAGATTGGAAAAGGGGAAAAAACGGGGGTGAGGATGGAGAGAGGGAGAGGAGGTGGAAAGATGAGAGGGTGGAAGAGAGAGGACAGAAGATTGGAAAAGATAAGAGTGGGAAAAGGCAGGGGGGGAAGGAGGAGGAAGAAGGTAAAGGAAGAGGTGAGAAAATAATGGGACGACAGGAGGGAATAAAGGAGAAAAGAGCAGAAGAGCAAATGAAGAGGAAAGAAATGGGACATAGGGAAAGCTGGAAAAAAGGAAGAATGGGAAGATGACAAAAGACGTGAAACAGAAAGAGATGGAAAGAGAGGGATATGAAGAAGGGAAACAGGGACAGCGAAAGATGGTGAAGAAGGAAAGAATATACGAGAATGGAGAGATGAAAGAGAGGAGGAAACAATGCTGACAAAGTAGCGCTAAACAGGTAGTTCACCATGTTCACCATCATCTTAGTTCAGTTCTCATTAGCACTAAATACAAAGTACAGCTGGGAATGTCATTAGGTTGGCAGGTATTTAACGAGAGGAAAAGTCATTTGTAACTCACCGTTGTACCAAATGTCTCTGTCAGGTAAGTGAACCAGCCCAGTATCCTGAGTTCATGTTCGATGAATCTGCCGCACAGGATTTACCTCCAGTCGAGGTGTAGAAACATCTTGAAGATGACTGATATAAATGGGATCTGAGATACATTGCAAGTGCAATACAAAGGATCTGAATACTCATGTCAACAGGTGAGTTTCCATTAACCTGCTTAATGCGCAAATTGAAACTGTGAACTGAAAAACAAGTACTGGAAACACGTGAATTAAAAAAAAAAAAAGTATGCTCTGCATGAGGTGAACAAAGCAATATTTTGCAAAATTAATAGGGAAACACTTTTTACGTATTCACGTCATGGCACTGTCTCATGCCCCAGTGAGCCAGTTCCAACTGAGAAGCAGACTGCTGGAAATCTGTCGTCTTGTTTAATTGGAATGATATGGCAAAAGTAGAAAACCATGGACTGTAAATAAAGATGGATGAAGCCTCTGTGACGTCACCCAGAGGTGTCTGAAGAGCGGTTTTGAAGCCTAGAGTGAGCTGCCCCACCGTTGCCAACTTGGCAGTGTCTGACTCCGCCCCTAACTCCACACACGCCCCACCTCTTTGCCTATTTTTGGCCTAGCCAGGAGTTGGGTGGAGTCAGAGAGTCGTCTGATGTCATGGAAGTCGCGTCCATCTTTATATACAGTCTATGAGTACAACGGGCTGTGGAGGTGGGGACGTCAGGGCGATGGAAGTATTTGAGTTCCCTAATAACCGCACCTTAAAGTGATGGTTTGGGTTATTTGACGTGGGGTTGTGTGAGGTAGTCATGCACAGTCAGTGCTGCAGTAGATTCAGACCAGCGTGCTGCCAGGTAGGAGAAGCAGCAGGAAACACCAGCACACTAGCAGAGCGATGTGTTGCTGTGTACGGGCCCAGCAAAAGAAACGTGTTTTTTCTGCTGGCCCCGTGCACGGCAGCACAACGCTCGGCCTCTGCGCCGGGCTGCTTCTTTAAACTGGCAGCGCACTGATCCAAATTTACTGCAGGTAACATACTGACTGTGCATGACTACCTCACACAATCCCACGTAAAATAACCCAAACTATTACTGTACCTACAACCATAAACTGTAGTTTATTTATGTTGCAGTGAATGTTAAAAAAATTTGGTGTCAATGAGCATATAATGTGTAATTTCTGTGTCATTCTGATTGGTTGGTTTTAAGACATGGGTCCTAGTAAGAGTCATTGTGACAATGTGGTACCAGACCTCTGATAATCACAATTTTGACACAGGCTTTCTTTGGTCTCCTAAGCTGTTAATAGGCCATCAGTGGATCAGTGTGATGTATGACCATCACACCAAGAATTTTCATTCAAGATAGCCCAAAGCTGCACAGTGTACAGGAGCATTACACGAAGAAGTCACACAGTCAGTAGTTTTTTCTTTTCAAACTGTATTTTATTTTAAAGGAAGACTCGTCATTGGGTGTAATCGTGTGTTAATATCATCTCAAATATTAAAAAAAACCATGATTGAAGAGTGGAGACGGATGGTTTGTGTGATGTGGAACACGTCAAAAAAACAAAAATAAATAAATTCAAATTACTTCAAATACGCTGGAGCTGCAGGAAAGCTGTAGCGTTTTTTGTTATATATACACACACAACTCAAGTGCTGCACAATGCACTTTGAGCTAAACACACACACACACAGAGCAAAACAGTTTTTAAAACAACAGTCTTGTCATAAACTGACACATAGAGGATAATTGAAAAAAAAAACAAAAAACATGTTTGTTGAGGAAAAACCCAGCCATCACAGACATGAGCATGTCCTTCTGCTGTGGCATTAAATCTTTGCCATTTCTGCACAAATTGGACTTTTTCCAGGTTTCAGAGTTGTATTAAAGTGATAATTTGGTTTTTAGAGAATTTTTCACTTATCGATTTGCAGTTTGAAGGTAATGTAGAACATCGAGACTAGCTAAGCTCATTTGCTGAATGTCTGTGGGATCAGCGAGCAGAGAAATCCTTAAAGCTGCCACTTGAACCCAATGAGCTGAGTGTTGCTAATGTCACTATTTATCCTGCCTTCAGTTATGCATGCGACATGAGATATTAAACAAAGGAGACCCTGAGTTTGTCAAACCCTTGGTTAAGTATTCCTCAAAAACCAAACCATCCCTTTGGAACCTGTGGAAGAGCACCGAAAGTGTTTGTACTGAATGAGATGTGTTGTAAAGTGCATATCGGTATGCATACACAGTGGAAGCAGAAAAAATGTACCAACCAAAACAGCTGTACAACTTATGCAAGCATTGTTGGAGACTACCAATGGGCACAACACGCAGCCATGTTGGAGGACTGCTAAAATGTCAAACTGGATTTTTCAGATGTGCTGGTAGGAGGCGAATGAAGCTACAAATGAAGAGAAAAAGACTTCAGTCTTCACAAATTTTAACATCTGTCTTCCAACATGGCGTCTTGTTGTTGGTAATTAGTGGCAACCATGTCCAAAAGCACCAATGTCCAGCCATTATGTGGTAGATGGTATTATGTATACTATGCTGACTGGAAAAAGGCAGAGTGCGACAAGCTCCTCCCAAAGCGAAACGCAGACGGGGTCTCAAATGTGTTCAAGCAGCTCCACTGACAGTAAGTGGTCAAATGAGAGATATTATCGGTCTGAGAGTCCCATTTTTCTTTTTTGAGTGATCATTTCAAGCTCAGACTATCAACAAAGTTCAGCGTGATTGGACAGTGACATAATGAGAAGATCCAATAGATCCAATTAACTAAGTAGCACAGTTTGTTGCCAATTGCACAAGTTAGCTAGTGAGCTAACTAGCCGTTGAGAGAGCAGTACAGCACGCGAGTCAATAAGCTAACTAGCAAAGTCACAGCATGTGACGTGATGAAGTCATGTTCATTGTTATGCAGAAGAAAACCTGCCAATATTCTGACTTGAGAGTGTTTGCACATTGACCCAAAATGGTTACCTCCATTTTTAGCCTTGTAGTCACAGCACATTGTTAATTAGCTCATTTTGTCATGTTACATATTTGTAGCTGTTCAGAAACAAGTGACACCAGCTACAAACAAACAGTGTACAGCCACTGAGTTAATTAGCTCGTTTACTATATTAGTTTAATATTGATATTTGTTTTAGATGCCACTGCCAGTGATGTAAAATGTGCGGACACTTTGTTAGTTCCTTTCATCAAGTGGAAGATCTGTAGATGTGAGAAATCTTTCTTTCCATCAACAGAGTTGTGGTGTGCAGACTGTCAGTTTACAGAAGCCGTGAGCCACAATGAGTCTGGTTGAAACAGAAGAATTAAACAGTGAGTGGCTGAGAAGCCAGGCAGCTCACTAGCCCACCTCTCTCTCGTTAGCAGATTAGAACAATAGCTAAATTTGTCAATTTAAATTACCGCAATCTTGAATAAAAAAAAAACTACGGAAGCCAAGAAAGGCCAAACTTGCAAATATTTTTTTATCCCGTTATCGAGATAACAGAGCTTTGTTTTAACGAGATAATTACCCTGTTATCTCAAGACAAGCTCGTTATCTGCAGATAATGTAATAATTATCCAGGGTTAAACCATTATCTCAAAATAATGGGATTATCTGAATTATTATCGGCATGATTATTCCGTTATCTCAAGATAATCCTGTTATCTCGAGATAAAGGGATAATTATTTAATTATTCTGAGATTCCATTATCGAAATAATGGAATAATTATCTCGTTATCTCGAGATACTGGAATAATCATCCCGTTGTCTCGAGAAAACAAAGCTCTGTTATCTGGAGATAACGGGATAAAATAACATTTGCGAGTATGGCCTTTCTCCGCTTCCGTATAAAACATCTCAGTCAGGATCTTTTTCTCTGAATTGAAACCCAAGGAGAGAGCTGTCAGTGGCCCATGTCACAGCAGGAACATGCAAAGTCAGATTTCAGGGTTGATTTTTCCTATCAGCATTTTGGTTAAGCACATATAAAATTTACATAAAGCACAAGTCCAGTATTTCTAGTTAGCCAGTGTAAAAGGCACATTGTTATGGCATAACAGAACAAAAACAGTAGAGGGGGAACAGGGTCAGAGGTCAAGTTACTGCCCATAAAATGTAATGTAAGGTTTGACTTTGACATTCACACGTTATTAGGGCGTCTCATCCCAAGCGAACACGAGGGCAGGTGGAACCGAACCAGCAACCTTGAAGATATTTTCTGTAGCTGCAGTAACCACTGGTGAAAGAAAATGCAGCATTCTGTATGTCAACCTACTGGCTGAAGTGAATTAGGTTTTTCAGTTAGTTGCACTGTGATCAAGGAGGTGTGAGTGGACAAAGAAACTGTGTTGAGGCTTAGGCTGAGGTCACAGTCTATCAACACGGAAACTAAGCTCTTATCCAACACTCCACGTATTTAAGTTTTTGACACATCTGAGCTACTTCTCTACATTGTAGTTTTTAAAAGTATACGTACTGCATTAAGGGACAACTCCAGCATCATTGTAGTTTGTCATAGCGTAGTCATTGTAATGCTCCTTTATGCTTTTCCCTCATTAGTTACTATTTTCTGCTCCTGTCACACCTGCCTGGATGTGAGGTGTTCTATAAACTGATGGTAAAAACATTTTGTCTTATCGATAGAAAAAGCACCGTTGGCTAAATGCTAAATTTGTTCCAAAATCATTTCGCTATCGATCAATCAATGAAGATCAGTAATGAAAAGTAGCATCTGCACATAATTAGCTTTGAGGCTCCACATGACTTTAACTAACATGCTATCAACTGCCATGGAGCGCTACAGACTGTTTGCATGTATTGATACAAAGCTGCGTTTTCCCTTTTTCAACAAGCTCAGAGCGTTAGCCGTCGTCACCTTTGCGTCACTCAACATTTGGAAGGGCCCGTCGGACTGTTTGTGTTGTGTTCGACTCGGAAATTGGAGATGTGGCAGAAAGCTCTGATAAATTAAATTCTTTTGTTTAACAGATTAATAACTTAAACATCAACAAGGACTGTAGCATTAATATGGAAATCAAAAGCTGTAACATTTTCTCCCATGTGTTTTCTCCCATCAGGGGCCTGATGGATATCATTTCTGTAAAAATGACTGAACTTCCTTCTTCTGAAACTACGGTACAACGGTACATTTCTGTTGTGTAGGAGCGTACAGAGGCTCCAGCACTGTTCACTACGTTTGTATTATTTTAATAATGTGTTGCACTCTCTGATGCATGCGTTGTGTGTGTGGATTTTCCGTTCCCCTGCACTTTAAGTAACTAAAACAAAAAACATAACTTCATCGGTTTTAATTTAACACCTAATTTACTTTGTCTTCAATCCACTTTGTTAATATCGATTTACTGAGCCAGTTTCTCTCAAAATGAGGAACAGGCAGGTGAATACTTAAAATGAAGTGACAACTGCCCCATTTCAGCAGAGAAGAGAAAAAAAGAGAAAACAGTATAAAAATAAAACATGTTAATGAATTTGTATAGTAATAATGTAATTCTCCTCGCTTGTAAACCATCTCAAAATACCCTGACATTTTTTCATGACACCCTGAGAGTTTCCGACCCCTTACGCTTAATTTTTCTTTTTTTAAATCTCCGCTGTACGACATTCTGGTTTATTGTAGAAATCATGCAGTGTCTCTTTTTAAACATTAGCTCCGTTCAGCACCAACATAGATTGAGGAGTAATATAATTCACATTATTAAATCTTCGTGTAGTGAATTAAACAGCAAAAGCTTAATCTGAATTGAAATATTGAAATCACTCTTTTCTCTCTTAAACTCACTGGTATCCACCTGTCAGGCAGCAGCATTTTGAGCAGCATCAACCTCCTCCAATCACATTGCAGGGATTGCAGCAGGGTGGGTGGGGTTACGAGCTGGAGGGCCAATGGCGTGAAGCGAAAGGTGAGAAGACGGGGGAGACAACCAGCCGCCCAACCAGAGCCCTTGTGTGCGGTGTCGTCGTCGTGTTCGACTGTTAATTCATTCGACACTAGCGAGAAGAGAAACGGGGTCTCTGGTGGAGGTTTGCAGGGGCTAAGTGAATGGAATGTAAGCAAGGGAAATGTAATAAAAAAACACAAAAAAACGAATAAACTAGTGCAAGGCTTTTTTCCTGTAGCTTTGATGTGTTGTGAGCAGTTTCTGCAGAGTGTCAGTTCTTTCATCGACACAGACTTTCATCAAATAGAATCTGCAAATCCTCGCAGAGTGTTTATATTACTTCCAGCAAGTTCATTTAAAATCTAATGAGCTATTTGTGCTTTACTGATGCGAAGTGCACATTTCAAAATCATGCAGCATCTTTTGACATTCTTCAAAATGAATCTGGGTTCAATATTTTGAGTTGACTTTGCCCCATTTAAACAATAAATCTGGTGATGTTCAGTATTTTTCTTGATGTCAACAAATCCCACGAAAAGACCAAAACCAACAGAATGTATTTGCAGAAACCATTTGCTCTGTTCTTCATGTTAAATTTTCCATGTGAACTGACACTTGCTGGGGAAACTGCGTGTGTTCATGTGTATGTATGAAGCGTCTGTGTATTGAAGAAGGCCTTATGTTTCTTCACAGGTAGCCCCGCAGCAGGAGAGGCATCAGAGTGTGTGTGTGTGTGTGTGTGTGTGTGTGTGTGTGTGTGTGTGTTTGTGGTGTGTTTCTATGAGAGTTTCTGGTTGGCAAAGAAGGCCTTGGTCTCTCCGCAGGTGGGGTTTGTACACAGCGGGCAGCGCAGGGTCAGCTGGCGGGAACACGGCTTGTTGGACTTCAGGTGGGACTGGACCAGGTCTGCCAGAGCCTGGACAGAACAAACGACACACACATTCAATATGGAGAGGGAGATAAACAGAGACCCTCGCTTCATCTGTGAGACCTGGAGACTATTTCATTCACTAGCTATTTCACGTTGCTTTTACTTTGCTGGTTTTCAAGCAATGCGAAGCTACCGTCACTAATGCCCAACACTGATGCACAGATGTTTCACATTAAAAGCATTTCAGCAGATCCAAGGAAACCGAGGGACATAATCTTTGGTTTCCTGTTAGGCTTTTAATTTGAAACACCTGCAGGAAGTGTTGAGTTTCATTTAGAGAATCTTAATAACGATCATGAAAAAGGTGAAGTGAAGAAGTAAATAAAAACTATACTTCTGTTAAAGGAATAGTTTGACATTTTGTGAAATGCTAAATAATTAGCTCTCTTGGTTAGCGTTAGATTGATATCACTCTCATATCTTTCCTCTAAATATGACGCTACATCTTATATTAGCTGAGCATTAAGACGGTGGTGGTAGCTTCACATTTACTTCACATTTACTGTGCAGACATTAACAACATTAAACCAACCAACTCTGCACAACAGAGTAAATAAACGGAAATTGTACATTACGCTGAATTTACCATGTGTGCTATTAAGAGTACAGTTAATCCCACCACCCTCCAAAACAGAGGAGGAATATTAATAATGAAAGAGAAAATGAAAGGGTAAGACTATCTGAATGAGAGAGTGAAAAAAGTAAGCTGGTTGTACAAGTTAGTAATCTGAGAGAGGATTTATCAAAATGAACCTCCACCACCAGCTGCAGTGAAACTCATGTTCTGATGAATGTATTTTTCTTTATTTTCCAGAGGCTGCTGCAGACGGCAGCAGACTGAGAAACTAAAACCACACGAAGGAAACCATCCTTCAGTAACTACCAACTAATCATCCTCTAGGATATTGATTTATACACTCACTCTCTCTCTCTCTCTCACACACACACACACACACACACACACACACTCAGAGACTTGGTGAGAGGTCTTTGAGCACGGCGGGTTTGACCAGCTAGCCAGTCGGGCGGTTCAGTTCTACTGTAGTCAGCTCTAAAGGTTCCCATTGATCTGCCCCCTTCCTTTAATAAACCCCACACACACACACACACACATACACAGCTGTTACAGCTGGAGGAGTTGCCTGTTGTGAGAAAGGTTGCAGGGTTGAGGATAAAGGGAAGGAGGGAGGTGACATGGGAAAGGAGGAAGGTATGGAAGGAAGCAACGAAGGAAGGAGGAATCCATTTGCTGACGATTTATCTCTTGCCTTACTTCCTTCAATCCTATACACTATGTACGTCTCATTTACTTTCTTTTTTTAATTCAATTATCTTTCTCTTCAAACTGAAAGTCTGTTCTAGTCTGTAAAATACAGAAATGTTCTTAATCTGTTGGAAAAGGACTTTAAAATGTGTTGTGTTTGTCCATGTTTCTAGACATGAGTGGGCTCAGTGTGTAAAACGTACCTTCATGAAGAGAGGATTTCCATTCAGTGACTCTGCTCTCCTGATGTTCTCCACACCGCACTGAAGACAGAGGAGGAAAGACAAAAAGTCGCCCCGTTTTTATACAAACGTGAAACACACCACAGTTCATAAGAACCACATCAAACTAGTTTACAGACAGTTTATCTATACTGAGAAAATATCATTAAATAAAGTTCAAAATTCAACCGACTGAAGATAAAAATAGAAAATTGATAGAAAAAAAATAGTGGTCATTTTGTCAGTTGAGGACTTTAAGAAATGAAAGCATTTCGTACTGAGCAATTATTTTTAAAAGCAGGTTTCATTTTGGAGTGGTCCAGACAGCGTGTGTGTGTGTGTGTGTGTGTGTGTGTGTGTGCGCACACGCTGTCTGGGACTCACCAATTCGAGTTTTAAACACTACAGTGAGAATGTGTTTGGAAAGTGAGGATGTGTTTCTCACAAGTATAGAAGTAAAAAAAAAGTGCTTGCATCTTCATGGCACCAGTCACATTGATCCGTGGTCACCTCACTGGTGCCTTTACACAGACCACCCCCCACCACCACCACCTCACCCCCACCCCCACACACACACACACACACACACACAGGAAACATGGATGCAGCTGACACATCTGACACACGTTTGCTTAACCTCTACATAGTCTCAGGTTAAGATCCTATGACTTTGTCCCTTTACAAACTCTAATCTTCATTCTAATCCCAAATCACGGTCCTACAACAAGGCGATGGTAAAGTCACAGTGCGCAGTTTTTCCCCTCATCTTTCCATCTTTGGGAGGACATTAGGTCTTTATAAACACTCACAAAACAATCATTTAAAAATGTATTTATCCTTCATCAATCTGCACTCAACAGCCCATAATGTGAAAAGCGAAAAACTGAATTTTAGACATAAGCATTCAGACCTTGGGCAGTGATTACAGCCTCTAGTCTTCTTGGGTCTGGCGCGACAGGCTCTGCAAATCTGGATTTAGGGATTTTGTGCCGTTCTTCTCTGCAGATCCTCTCAGGCTCCATCAGGCTGGACGGGGCCGTCAGTGGACAGACGTTGCCAGGTCTGACCGGAGATGTAAGACTGTGTTTAAGTCAGGGCTCTGGCTGGGCCACTCAAGGACATTCACAGACTTATCCCTAAGCCGCTCCTGTGTCGTCTCGGCTGTGTGCTAAGGGTCATTGTCCTGTTGGAAGGTGAATCTTCACCCAGTTTAAAGTCCTGAGCTCTGGACCCGGTTTTCATTAAGGACATCTCTGTAGTTTACTGCATTCAGATTCCCCTCAACCCTGACCGGTCTCCCTGTCCCCCCACAGCCTGATGCTGCCTCCATCACGCTTCACTATTGGGATGGTGTTGGGCAGGTGATGAGTGGTACCTGGTTTCCTCCAGATGTGACCCACAACAATCTTTGTTTTATCAGACCAGAGAATCTTACAGTCCTGCAGGTTCTTTTTTGTAAACTTTCACAGAGGAGAGGCTTCGTCTGGAGACTCTGCCGTTACGCCCTGACTGGTGGAGAGCTGCGGTGATGGTTATCCTTCTGGAAGTTTTCTACCATCTCCACACAGGATCTCTGGAGCTCAGCCAGAGTGACCATCAGGTTCTTGGTCAACTCTTAGTCCGCAGCTCTAGGAAGAGTCCTGGTTGATCAAAACGTCTCTGTGTAAGAATGACGAAGGGCCACTGAGCTCGTGGGAACCTTCAATGCAACCGAATCTTTTCTGTATCCTTCCCCTGATCTGTGCCTGAACACAATCCTGTCTCTGAGCTCCATAGGCAGTATATCAGATCTGCATTGTCAGCTGTGAAACCTGATATAGACAAGTGTGTGTCTTTACACATCATGACCAAATCAGCTAAGTTTACCATAGGTGGACTTCAGTCAAGGTGGAGGAAACATCTCAAAGATGACCAAGAAAAATGGAGGAGCCTGAGCTAAACTTCCAGAGTCACAGCAAAGTGACTGAATACTTTAAGATGCAACATAACAAAATGTCTGAATACTTTCTGAATGTACCGTTTTCTTTAAGATTTACACAAAACTGAAACCAAAGGCTGCCTGGAAGGAAAAATTGAAATCCAAAAGCTTATGGATGATTTGGAAAATGATAAAAAAAAAACATAAATACAGTCCATAACTGCCTGTAAGGTTCTTTACCCAACAAACCATCTGTCTGGAAAAACTAAGGCAATATTATGTGACACTTTCTATACTAAATTTCGCAGACAGTTGACAAGTTGACAGAGCAGAGAGGAAAACGCCTGGAGCTGCTGGTAAACGTTTTTCTTACCTCCTCCCCCAGCACCTGTCCGTATTCAATGTCCAGTTCATGTAGAGTCTCTATGTGGTCAGAGGTGAAGGCGATGGGCACCAGCAGGATGTTCTTCTTCCCTCGTTCACACAGACCTTTAATCACCTCGTCCGTCTGAGGGCCTAGCCATGGCATGGGGCCCACCTGAGAGACAGAACACAAGACGATGAGTTGACAAGACACAGCAGTTTCTCTATCAGGTCGAACCCTGTGTTAATATTTCCTTAATTCCTGTAGATGTTCAGTGCACGCAGAGGATGACCGCCTGCGATTTGAATCACTCCATGACGTTCCCTGTAGAGCAAGGATAAACTGCATTTTTAGAATGGCAAAGTCTTTCTCCTCTCTGGGACAGTAGCAGCGCTTAAGACTCTTAGGGCCTGGTTAACTCGTCCTTACAGCTGTCCCAGCACGTTGGAAAGGAGTAGTGACAAGCCTGTTGTCATGGAGGAGGAGGGGGGGGGGGCATGATGTTGTTTAAAAACGGGGACATCTGCGCTCATTTTCAGACAGTCTCTGTGTTGCACTCGGCTGTTCACATGAAACGTGATACAAATAGTTGTGTAACAAACGAAACTACAATCACCGCCTCGTGGTCGTCTGCCTCCTCCACTCAGACTAGTTTCAGATTACATCCGTTTATCCAGAGTCATGTAAAATATGAACCATTTGTGCGAAATGACCTTTGACCACCAAAGTCTAATCTGATTTGCACTATTGTTGTATTGTACATTGTTATGTGAATTGTTTGTAATTTTTTTTTTTTTTTTTATATAAATTGTACCTTCCTTGGGATGAGGCTGAACATAAATTAACATAAATCCACTGAGGTGGACAATAAAATCAATCAATCAATCAATCAATCAATCAATCAATCAATCAATCAATCAGTCCTCTAGTCCAGGTGAACGTTTGTACCAGATTTAAAGAAATTCCTTCAAGGTGTTACGGAGATGTTGACACACAGTACAGAAGAAGAGTAAACTCTCTTTTAGTCTTGTTTAATAAAACTTGTGTATGTAGTTTGCAGACTTTGTCCGACAACTCCCATCTAAATTATACTGGACAGCCGCACGACAGTCTCACTGGAACTGTCTCAGTTGTCAACAAAGAGCGTATGTGTGTTAAAAATCACACAGAAAGTTTTCTTAAAGGAGCCACAGTGGTTTAAATATCTGAGGCTCCCCACCAGTCAGCAGAACTAATGAAGCTTCCTAGATGAGTGTTGAAACATCGTAAAGATCAAGCAGTGAGTCCAGTTGTCTCTGCCTGTAGCACCTATGTGTGTCCTCTGGCCTAATGAGAGGCCTTTACCAATACAGAGCATGCCAAGTTTAAATGTGGTTCAACTGGCACCACAGCATCCCCAACTCTGTTCTGTGACAAAATAATCTCAACTCAAAATTCCACTCACCAGCTTTTTCTCAGCTTTCAACCATATTGACAGTGAGAGCTGGTCAACACATATACCTGGTATCCTCCCTGTAATGTATGAATACTATGAACACTATTTAATATCATTCGGAATTTCCTACATGTTGGGTTCGTTGCAGAAAGTGTGAGTGTTTCCACTCCAGCCTCCATGTCTGGTTAATTCTAACATTATCTACAGATAATACTATTCTTCCAGAACGATTCATGTCAGCTACTGCGACCTGAGGTCCAAGAGCGACGAGGTTTTCTGCTCTAGTGAAGCTGCTCTGCAGTATTAGACAGGCGAGTGGCTCCTCCTTGTGGCGACAATAATTGAAACACTGTGAGAGCAGCACTGAGCTTGAGGGAGGTGATACTGACAACTAAGATGAACTATGCAATGATGTACAGTTAGTGAATATAAAGATAAATATGACTATCTACCCTGCAAGAATATACAAGTAAATACAATAATACAAGTAAGTATGTACAAGTACCAGTAAGTTACATCCTTTCAACCCCTGCTGCCTGATACTCTCCTGCTGTCCACCTCTTTAAATCAGAATGAAAGCAGCGCAAATTGACTTTAAAAGATCAGCTGTTAGGTGAAGCTGGAGAATGTTCTCAGAGTCAGGAACAACAGAGTGGATGGATGAAGTAAAAATAATGAAAAAAAAAAAATTTACAAAATGAAAAACAAAAAGTGAAAAAATAAAATCCTAAAACCTAAAAGCTAAAAGTAATTTTACAAGGTAATTTCATTGTAGGAATCAGGTATTAATAAAGCAATTACTGGATTATTGGGGTTCTTAAACTTATGTCTAGTAAATACTGGGTATCTATGGGGTTCAGTTCTGGGAAACAAAACTGAGGTCTTCCACCATACTTACATTTAAGTACCAACAGGAACTGCTAAGTATTTTATTAGGACCTGAGTAGTACCATGAAATTATACTGGAAATCACAGGCTGTGTGCGTGCGTGTGTGTGTGTGCGTGCGTGCGTGCGTGCACTCACCCTGGACTGCCACACCAGTCTGTATGGGTTACAGTGTCCCAGTCTCTCCATGACTCTTTGAACTGTGGCTCCCACTTCCTGAGGATACGGGTCACCTCTGTTTACAACCTGCACAGGGAACACAACAGTAGTACTGTCAGGCTTACTAGTAACAGTGTCAGTATCAGCAGTAGTAGTATAGTAATAATGCTAGCAGCAATTGTAGTAGTAGCAGCACCACTGTGAGTAATGGCAGTACTACTAGTAGGAGTCTTAGAAGTGTAGTAGCACATTAGTAGCAACAGCAGTAGTACCAGTAGTGATAGTAGCAGTATTATCATCAGCAAAAGTACTTGCACATGTAGTAGTAGTAGTAGTAGTAGTAGTCTAATTAGCTGCAGTAGCAATAGTATTGCTAACTAGCGCTGGGCATTGAAATCCAGTACCTTTATAGTACTAATGGATATGCTTTGGTTTTACTGTATAAAGACCATATAAAGAAAACGGACTCATTCAGTACAATGCAACAGATTTAAGTAACGGGGACTGAATCTTCATTGTACACATGTCATTTAAAGACCCAGTTCATTACTGAGGAAACATATGTTGATGCAACTGATTTTTCCTTGCATACTAATAGATCAAGATTTAACTTCCCTTTGTATTTGCATTGGACATTCACCACCCTATATAGCATCTATGCTGGACCAGACCACAGCACCCTGCCAAACCCGCTCTATTAACTGTCCTATGCTTCAAGCCCCCTGAGTTTACTCTGTTCAAGACATGATCTCAAACCACTTCGCCTCAGTGTGCAAATGTTTTCACTGAGTATTGTCCTCTTGAATTTTAACTCTGTATTTGTGTGTCTCTCCACATCATTGAAAATGAGGGAAACCTGAATGATCTTCGAGGTTTAAAGAAATAAATGAACAATGAAAATAATAAAAAAGGAAAATGAAGCACTGAGCTGTTAAGCAGTATGAATGAGCAGTGAATTCAATAAAATCATGATATCTATCCCCTTTGCTAGCAAAATCCCAACTGTGCTGCTTTCAGCTTCCACAGTGTGAAGATTTGCTGCAGTTGTTTCTGGTAAGATAGCAAGCTAAAGTATTTGCTAATACTTATGTCTTTGCACCTTTACGTTACTAGCAATAGTGGTAGTGTCTATCAGTAGTACTATCAGCATCTATCAATAGAACTAGCAGCAGTGGAACTATCAGTATTATCAGTGTCAGCAGATGAAGCAGCAGTGGGAGTAGCATTACTATCAGCAGTAGCACTTCTTAGTACTTACAGACAGAGGGAGTGAATGTGCTGAGAACAGAATGACGACGTCGTCTCTCTTCGCTTCTGGAAACTTCAGCAACTCATTACTGACGTGTTCTGCAAAACACTATGCACGCGCACACACACGCGCACACACACACACACACACAGCTGGTGAAGCTCCTTTTCCTCTCAGACAGAACAACAAGCTAAACATTAGAAAACAAACCGACTCGGGTAAGAAGTCATCAAAGCAACTAATGAGCTCAAAGAAGCCATAGTTGGTTACCATAGCAACTAACAAGCCTGGCTGTGTTTTTGATGATGATGGGTCAGGAATTTTTTTTTTTTTTTTTTTTTTTTTTTTTTTAAATCAGTTGGGGAAAATTATAGTTTTGTCATTTCATCAAAACAAAAAAAAATGCATCAGATATAGAAAATGTTCAATCTGGGTGTGTGTGTGTGTGTGTGTGTGTGTGTGTGTGTGTGTGAGAGAGAGTGTCTAACCTCCACCAGCAGTGGGTGTGTGGGCCAACGGTCGATGACACTCCAGCGCATTTTTGGCCTGTCACCTCTGTTGCTGTAGTAACGGTAAATGGCGTTCAGACTGCTGCCTGTTTACACGACACACAATCACATTAATATTAATTAAATGTGTTGTATTACACAACAAACACAATCCTCTGACAACCAGCCCCACAGCAGGGTTTGAGGATGAGCGCCTCGCTGAAGCTAATTCCCAGAGACAAGACAGGCCGTCGTAAAGGAAGGCGCATCGTCTCTCTCAGTCAGCGTTTCCTGTCCGAGGACCAAGCACAAAAAAATCAAAGATAAAAGGGAATTTCATCTTTCTTTTTAGACTTGTGGGGTTTCAATATAATCAGTTCCCGCTCTTTTCAAGAAATCATTTAACGGCCATTACGCCCCAGACGATCACGTTCCTGTCTGTCGAGTCTCCTGAAAAACACTTGTTAATCTTTGACTCTATAATTAGAGGACGGCAACAATTTGTGACTATGGGTCGAACCTGAATCCCTCTCTCTTTTAAATCACAGGGACCATTCTGTTGCTGCACCGACTATCAAAGCCTGATCTCTACAAGTGAAAATAGTGCAGACAAACGAGTTTGTGTAGTTTAGCTTCTGATTTGCAGCTTCTGTTTCAGCAGTTAAAGGGAAAGTTATGGGAAATATAAATGACAAAATTGACAACAACACAACACAGAGATCGATTGTCCATTTTTTTTTAAAATCAACTTATTGTTGTGAAAGGGTGTTAGACATCCTGGTTAATGTCTTAACACTGTTTACAACCCAATGTCAGACTTGTGAAATGTTTCTTTTATTTATTAAAGCAAAAATATGGCGATTTTAGGGCATTTTCTCCATCTAGACTAAAACTGGCCAGCTGTCTTATAGAAAACCCACATTTAGACACAAAGATGTCAAACCTGGACTTAATCAACGAGTAGACTCCACTGACTGTGTACAGCACAGATTCAGATTTGTGAAGCCTTTAGTGATTTCACTGCTTCTTTCCTCATCCAGACCACATCACACCACGTCTGAATCAAAGAGCGCTTGAGCTGGACTCGTCAAATCTGGACTAGATTAACAGGGAGGGTTTAAAGACGGTTTCAGATTTGTGAAACTTTTATTCTATTTGTAAACAGGTCTTTGATCTAGACCTGGTCTACTGTGGTCTGGATGGAGAAAAGGCATTGGAATGGCAATTTCATGCTAAACTTTCAATACTGGTCATTTTCATTCAGTATGGATTCAGAGTGTCAGCTTCAATAAATGTTATGAAGACTAAAAACAAAGAAATGACGCTCATACTCACAGACACAAACACACAGACATTCACACACTGCTGCTATTCATGTAACTCTCTTGGTCGGTGCCAACTTTGACAGCAAAACAACAAGAGTAATCGGTGATAACCAAAGACGCTGTCAAATTTAAGTAACACAAGAGTCTGATCATTTTCAATTTGAGGTTTCTAAATTCAAACAAATAAATTCAAACAAATAAACTTGACATAAACACATGCACTATGAGCGATATAAGGCACCATAGTTGGCTGTTATTGCTGTGATGTGTGCGGACTTTTTAACAGGACTTGTACATATTTTCTCACCCCCTTCATTTTGCCTTCTGCATATATTTTCTCCTCGGTTTTTGTGATATGTTTTTTTTTTTCTGTGGAACTTCCCATGTGTTTAGACTATAAGCTAATCCAATCTAAACAAGCTGGGGGATGCTGGGTAAACAGCTGTCGAGGAGCAAAACAGCGGATCTCTTTGAATCACAACAATAAAATCCTCTGATGTGGGCGGCGATTGAAAAGATCCTCCATCCAGCATGAGATCTGCAGTCTGAGAGAGTTCACCGAGGCTTACTCCCAGCAGAATAAGATCATGCCGAGTTTGATTTTGTTTAGAGTATACTGTGTGTGTGTGTGTGTGTGTGTGTGTGTGTTTATCAGAGGGTAAGAGGTTGGATAACAGCATGGGTGTGGTCATGCTAACGGCCACAAACGTCTTTTTTATCTTATTATTCTCCCCAATTGAGTCATTGCATGTTATCTTTGGAAGATGAACGACGACACCAAGCAAGATAATAACTTTCATTTCTCCTGTGATGCAGCTGGAAGGAGAATATATATCTGTTTTCAGCTTTACGTTTAATTTTCTGCATCCATGCTATGCGTGACTGTCACCTGTGGTGGAGCAGCTGTATTGAGGATACTGTGTGAAGGCCACAGCTCTCTCCACCCCGTCTTTCTCCATCTCCTCGATGGCCGTCTCCGTCAGCGGGTGAACGTACCGGAAACCGATGTAGAACTTGTGCGGAGCTGATGAGAGAGTCATGGAGAGAGAGTCAATAACCACGTGCCAACCACGTGAAATATTACAGTTTGAGTAAAACTGGCTGTGAAAAGCACTAATCTATTGTTTCCATGTTGATTTAAATAGCTGAATAATCAAATAAATACTTGCCAGGAACATAAAGGGAAGGTGTTGTTGTTTACATGTTATTTACAGTCTCAATCAGGTTTGTATAGCACTAGATACGGTCAGTTTTCAAACCGCTGCTCACTGTTCGCGTTCTTATCAGCGAGGTGTGTTGAGGGCGTGTGAAGAGACACTCCTTCACTGTGTCACTATCTCCACTTCACACACACACGCTCTGCTGCTCGCAACAGAGTCCACCAGCAGAAAACACAGCAGTGCTGCTCAGTTTTCATATGTGAAACGATAATTAACCATAAGTTCTTACATCAGTCTCTAAAAACGAACATACACAAACTTTCTCAAACTCTCAGGGTTCCGATGACCCTCCCATCTGCAGGACCGCCTCACCTGTGTCGGGACTCATCTCGTCTAGCAGCTTCACCATGCCCTCTCCCTGCATAGAAGTCCAGCGTTTGATGGGCGAGCCTCCTCCGATCTTACTGTACTGCTCCTGGATCTTAGGCGTGCGACGCTTGGCGATGAACGGACCGAGCTTACTGCAGGAGGACAGATTGAAGAGTTATGACCACGGCACTCAACACACTGAAATTGAGTTTACCTTTGGAATCACTATCGTTTTGAGAAATTAAAAAAACAAAACACTGATGTGCATTATTTCTCAAAGATTCATCCAAATGTGGCACACCGGGTCAAAAGCAGATTTTACTCAACTTTAATGAGTCACAAGGCAAACATGTGGGGGAAAATCTGCTTTCAAAGGTTCTGTGTTACATGTAAAAATAGACCTTTCTCCTCAACAGCGACAAACATTGTGTTTGTCCACCGTCAGTTACTATGCAACACGCAGAGACACAGCAGAGTGCTGTGACCCAACAACCTTCCATATTTGTCCTCTCACAAGAAATATGTAAGGCCATTAACATGTTACTTCCAAAAAGAGGTTTTCATCTAAAAAACCAAGAGAAATGTTGATGCATTTTTGAACTGCTCAGTCTCTTTCTCTGTGTGTGTTCGTCCATCTGTCAATCAGTTGTGCTTTCCAGACTTCATTTGCATTGTTATTTTTTTGCTGTAAAGAAAATGAGCTTATGTCCCAGGTAAGGACTTGTATCCATAGACAAACACACACTAGATTAATATTACATTTGTTTATCTACTAACTGCTGATAACTGTGGCATTTTTTGGGCAAGGAGACTGGCAAGGCTGTAGACGGTCTGACTCCATCAGGTTGCTGGTCCTGACAAAGACATCAACCTCTACTGCTCAGTTTTGCCGCTCACTATTTAAAAAGCTTTACTCAAAAAAAGACAATATGTGTGACTGTGTGTGTGTCCGCAGTGCGTACTTCTGCACAGGGAGTTTCATCAGGTCTGTGTCCATGAAGAGCCGCAGCAGGAAGTCATGCACATCCTCAAGTTTCTCGGGTCCTCCCATGTTCAGCATCAAGATGCCTGTCTTAGGTTTCCTGTAGATGCAAGAGATTAATAATCAGTAATTCATGTCTTACAATGCCTCAAGCCTCAACAAAGATGAATTGGGCTTATTGATCATCATTGGCTACTAATGTGTTGGATTTTACATGGAGATGTGTTATATCTGCTAATGTTTTAGCAGACTGTGCAAAGAAAAGCTGCATATTATTGATTATTAATACCTTGATTATTATGCCAACACAAAATAGTGATAGTTATAATATCATATAAAACTATAGTTTCAGTTTCAAGGACATCTTATGAATGTTTAAAGGATAACTTAAAGGGGACCTATCATGCTTTTCTGAGTTTTTCCTTACTTATAGTGTGTTATATAGGTTTTTGTGCATGTAAATGGTCTCCAGAGTCACAAGTTCATCATAGTACATCATAGTTTACATCAAAGAGAGAAACTCTGTCAGCCATTTTCTCTTTTGTATGAAACGCCTCATTGGGAGTCCTGCCATTACTTTGTGGTCCTATTGCCCACCTGCAAGCTTGGCACGCCCCCACACAAGGCACAGCACATAACTACTTATGGTGAAGAGTTTTCATTAGTTTTGTAGCCATGCCGAAAAGACAGAGTTCTTAATTTCCTGCAGAAATCTACTTCATTTTTCCACAGTTTTCCACTGCTCCAAATATTATAGCGTGAGCCCGCACTTCAAGCAGAACTGCTTCAGAAACCACGCACAGTTAGACGTTTTTTACAGACGTGCGGAACTTGTCGTTGCCATGGTAGTTGCCGGCAAGCTGACCAATCAGAGCACACTGGGCTTTGAGCTCTAACACAGCGTTTCAGACAGAGGGTGAAGAGAGTACAGTGTACAGCAGAAGAAACATAATGCCTTTTCAGAACATTAAAGCATGTAAATCTTTTAGTCAACACCAAGAATAAAATGATGAACACTAAAACTGGCCATAATAAGTCCTCTTTGAACGCTCTACATGTGGTCCTACTGGAAGCACCTAATGTTAGCTTGTCGTATCAGTCTATAAAACTTGCATTAGCTCAAGTAGCTAATGCTCATTCTAATGAAATGAACATTACCTTGAGCCTTTTTTGAGCTTGTGTAAGTTTGTAACTCAGGCATTTAATGATAGCTTGTTGTATCAGCCTGTAAACGTAACTTTAGCTCAAGCAGGTAACGTTAGCTTGTTGGTAAAGGGCAGGATGCTGCACTGCTGTCCACTGTACACAATGTCACTACTGTACCCGTAATCATGATTACCTTTCATGACGAGTAACATATATTACAGGTCGCCATAATCTGTGTCTACTAATTTGCGGGTTTTGTAAAATCTGGGTTTGAGACATTTCAGTCAAAATGTTTGCTTCACATTCTCTCTGACACTACATTACCGCAGGCTTTACAGTTTGTCTCAACACTCACAACACTGTGACTTCTGTGTCTTTACACACTGTTGGAGCCTTGAAAACCCCTGAGGAATCTGCTGTCTCAGTCATAATTATTGCATGGTTATCTTGAAAGCACAGATGTGAGACAAAAAGCCAAAAGGACAGAGATGATAAAGACTGTGTGTGAAAAGACATCAATGGAAAGCCGAAGCCATTCAGTTCCACTGTTTCATTTCTAATAATACCAAAGGGTCAAATCAGGACATCTGGCATCTGTCAACCAACTGTTCCACAAGCCTCACACTAAGCCGTGAACGTTTTAGGGAAAAGAAATGTTCATTAAATGTATTTCTAGCGTATATGCTCTAATCTCTCTCTAATCTAAACTGTGAATCGGATCCACTGTGTCCACAGAATCCATTTCTGAAATACGTGAGTATGCCTGATAAAAAGTTGTAACTTGCTCTGTGAAGTTCCGCTCTGCTTTTCAATGGTGTTGTCAGACTGTGGTGTTCTGCTTAGGGAACAAAAGAAAACACGCAGAGGTGAAAGCTGCTCTTAAGTGCTGCTATTAAGTGCCAACTAAGAGTCAGCGTAACCGGACAAACGACAACGACTGACAGACACAGATGCTCAACGGCGACCCGATGACGGCCCAACGGCACACAGATCACTGACAGCCGACTATTGTTGTGCTGTGTCAGGCATCCCTAATGTTTCAGAGTGGGAATCTGTACATACAGTACCAGTCAAAAGTTTGGACACACCGACCCATTGGCAGGTTTTTCTTTATTTTGACTATTTTCTAGAACTGAAGACATCACAACTATGAAATAACACATATGGAATTATTTAGTAAAAAAACATATATTTCATATTTTAGTTTATTCAAAACAGCTTTGCACAATACTGTCATTATATTAACGAGCTTCATGACGTCATCACCTGGAATGCTTTTGTGATGGTGTGAGGGGGCTTTGCTGGTGAACTGAAGGCACAACTTAGCCAGCATCATTACCACAGCATTCTGCAGCAGCACGCCATCCAATCTGGTTTGTGCTTAGACCACCATTTGTTTTTCGACAGGACTACAAACCCTAACACACCTCCAGGCTCTGTAAGGCCTGTTTAACCAAGAAGGAGAGTGAAGGAGCGCTGCATCACATGACCCGGCCTCCGCAATCACCTGACGTAACCCCCCCCTGAGATCAACATATATGGACTCCTTCAAGACTTTTTCCAATTCCAGGTGGCTGCTGAGTGTGTGGTGTGTGTGTGTTACCTGTTCTCCTGTGTCTCTGGAGTTGCAGTCTGGGCTAATGCCGCAGCAGTGGAGCGTCTCCTCATACTCAGACTGACGCTGCTCCTGGCAACTAAAGAAGAAGACATCCGGTTATTTTTTCATCTGTCCACTCACACACACACACACACACACACACATTTCTTTATCAAATCATCATCAGCTAAGAATTTATTGTCAAGTCCATTGAGTGTGAACAATATTTGGCCAATGAACAAAGTACAAATGTGTCACTGCAGGAAACGTTCCACATCATTAACATCTCCCCCCTCCCACTTCACTTTAGTGAAGTAATAATTCTCAATGAGAGCTCAACAGGCTGCACCTGCAGTGGTGGCAACAGATTGGGATGGTGAGAGGGTAATTGTGTTTCCGTTTTGCAGTACTGCATCCAGTAACATCCAACAACCATTTTTTTTCTTCTTCTTTAAATCTGCTGCGTGGAACTTCTGTTTTCCCCTTCTGGTAGTGACAGTAATTCTTATTTCTTTGTTTCTTCTTTTTTTTTTATGTGGAGCATCAGAAACTTTTCCTAGGTTTTTCTGCCATAGGCTGCACCATACTCCTACTCCGTCTCCATCGCTACAGTTGCTCCTCTCTTCAGCTCTGGAAACCAGTCATTGCTGGTTGACATAACAGGCATTGCTGACGGCGGTGGGCCAGCACAGGAATGTCTCCACGGACACCAGATTTGATATTTGAGGATTACTGTGAAATACATACATGAGATTTGCCTAGTGTTGATATGTCATTGTATGAACTTGTTCGGTAAATGCAATGGAGTGCATTTACAGTATATAGTGCTTTTCTAGTCTTAACAACCAATCAAAGCGCTTTACACTACTAGTCACATTTACCCATCCACACAAAGACACATTCACACACCAAAGATACATCAGGGGGAATTTGGGGTTCAGTATCTTGCCCAAGGACACTTGTGTGGACATGTGGACTGGAGCAGCCGGGGATCACCTGCCTTCCGATTAGTGGACGACTCGTTCTACCTCCTGAGCCACAGCTGCACCATTTGGTATTGGCTCGAATGCCCATGAGGTCCAATGGGAAGGTGGTCTCAGACTTTTGTGTAGTCCTGCACTCCAGCTTTAAATGTAATGATGTGAAGGAGCGATATGGAGAAGTGGAATGTACAGCTATAAAGTGAAAGTAAAAGCTGCAGTAGTTTTTTTTCTTCTTTTACCTACACAGTTGTGCACCATAGCAATTCATTCTTTACACTTATGCCCCAGTCTCCATTCAGTTCAATGTAATGCTTGACCCACTGTAGTTTTGTATATCTGTGATGTCATGTTATATTAAATCACTTGTTATGTGTCCACCTAAGTAAAAATAATATGGTTCTAACAGTGGTTCAGTAGTGGATGTTTACTGCACAGACAAATGATATTTGAATGGAAAATGTTGATGGTTGTCTACACTGGTGGCTGTTTCCTCTATGACTTCTTACATGAGGTTACAGTAAGTGACCCTAAACATACTGCAATAATAACCACCACTGCACCCAACAGCACTGTGTGAAATAACAACGCCATGTGCTGCACGCTGCAGAGGACGCACAGAAGCCAGTGTCTTCTGATGTATGTGAATACACAATTTAATAGTCTATAGAGTCAGCTTTACTTTCATAACCCGGACTGCAGTACTCTCACGCGCCACCAGGAGGCCTGCTAAGATTATGCAAGTTCACAACGCTGGAATTGTGTAACTGTGAAAATGTTCCGCTCTTTCTTACTTGACGTGAAAACACGGCTTGTTAACAACTGCGTGTGGTATTGGCTGATCCTCTGGTCGCTACTAAATGCAGCTCAAGTACGGGATAAGTCCATTATATAACATTAACATTTAACAGTAACCTACAGTAATGTTGGGCTGCATCAAGGCAACGTGTGTTAGCGACTGACTGGCGACGGAAACACCGTCATTTGTTAGTGAAATAAAAGCACGTCAGCGGCCAACTGTCAGCAAATAACGGGATACTGAATAAACAAACATGGCAAATATGGACATTAAACGCAACACCTGGGTCGTTAAAGTTTGTTGAAAGGGACGCCGATGCAATACAAGTAACTAATACAAATAAACATACGTTAAGGTTACAGCGAGAGCAACACTGTGAAAGTCCTAACAGGAAGTTGTATTTCCATATTCTTACAAACTTAACACCCCTTTACGAAATGTTGATGCCAATGTCAGCGGCATGTTGTTGAGTTTACACCACGTTACACCAAACAGCGCCGCTCCGTCCCTCGAAACTGCTTTTAAATTAAGTCAAGGAAACGGAGTAGCACAGTTTACTCTGTGGTATTAAATCCCGAGCTACATCATAAAACTTGAAGGTTTCCGTGCACACCTTTGATGAGGCTAACTTAGCTGCACAGTCACACTCACATTGGATCAAGCGACCGGCGCTGCCCAGGACTGCCATCATGGTAACGTCCTGTTTTCACTGCCGATAACAGTCTCTGGTCAAGCTGAAATGAAGGCTGGATACTTCTGCTGTGAGCCGCTGGATCCACGAGTATTTCCCCTCACTGAATGACGCGCCGGCCAGTCCTGTGTGTCAGTCAGATTCCTTCAACTACCACCGGCTGGCCGTACATACTCCTGTCAAGTTTTTCAACGATAATTCGGAAACTTCCGGTTTTTAGTTTCAAAATAAAACCACTAATGATGTTAGTGCAACGTTTTAGATGAGATTTGGATTTGTAACATACTAATCGTTTATTTATGAATTTCTAGTGGTCATTTTATCCACATCTTTAAGTATCCCAGGCATTTCATATCACTGTTGAAATTTATATTAATCTGTGTCAGTATAGAAAAAAGAATAAAAACGATCCTTTTGTAATTTCACAGTAAATAAATCATGAAATGGAAGAATCTAAACTGCAAATTTATTGAGTAAAAATTCAAACTTACAGATAAAAATGTAAAGAAACTATGAATCTAGAATCTATGAAAAATATATAGGAAGTATTAAAAAGGTAAGTTTGCACAAATAATAAATACATTAAATAACTATTAGTAAAAATGCAAATCCATGTCTTAAATGCAGTATTGACTATTATTTTTAAATAGATGTGCAAAAGGAATGTATAATTACAGTTTTACAACACATTTACTTTAACGATTGAATGTTATGTAATGTATATATATATGTGTGTGCGTGTGTTTGTGTGTGTGTGAGTGTGTGTGTGTGTATGTATGTATATGCAGTGCAGTACAACATCCCTCCCTCTCGTGTGATATTGCTTAAATATGTGATGTATATAATCACAATGTGATACATATAATCACATCTATTTTTGATTTGTACTCACTTTTATCCTAAACGTCTGATTTCATGCTTTTCTCATGAAGACAATTTTGTCATATTTCCGGTCTAAGGCTTGCTTAGTCTGGTTAGCTTGACGCAGGATCGTTCTCTTGGTATGGCGTCACCACTACGTCGGTCTAAATTACAAGTTAACTCCGCCTCTGCTCGTGCCGGTCATGCCCACACCAGACTCGTTTGCGTGTGTGTGCATGTCTTTTTATGTTTGTGTGGACAATCATTATAAGAACATCTCTGTCTTGTGATGACATTCTGATGGACCTCAGAAAGGGGGAGAGGGAGGAGGAACAGTACAGAGCTCTGATTACAATACTTAGAAAATAAAGATTACAGTGATAAGTCTTGAAGAAATGATCAGATGATTATGTCTGTTTTTATTGTTGAGCTGAAAATGATACAATTCCTTATTTAAATAATTTTCAGTCCCAGTTGACAATGTGGTATAAAAGTGTATGGACATACCTGTCCTAATACTTTTGTCTTGTTTCTTTTGGCCATGCAGAGTATTTTCTTCCCTTAAATATGGCTAAGTCTAAAAGTAACAACCTTAAAATAATTAGAATACATGAATGGATGGGGATTCAGTCCAGTAAATGTGTAAAGGGACATGGTTTTATCCACCCATGGTAATCTACAACTTTGTATTCAACTGTTTTATGAAAATCTGAGTTGAAATCACCACATAGGCAATGCTGATATATAAATGTGATTGCTCTAATAAAAAAAACTTCACTATTATGATATTGAGAGGCAGGACAGGCCATTTAAAAAAATAATAAAAGAAGCATTATCAGGATTTCATGCTATCCACATGACTGAGTTCACAAGACCGTTATTAAAAATAAATAATTTCTCTTACGTGAAAACATGTCTTTAAGAAATAAAGAATGTTGGTTTTTAAAAGTGCTGAGATTGAATCCAAGCAGTTTCTCTGGGACTGAAGCTGTGTTTCCTTCTTCCTTCTTGACAGTGTGAATCATAAAGCCAAAGAGGATCCAGGAACTGTATTTAAACATACCCACAAAGGAAGAAGGAAGTTCTCTTACACACAAACATGTCTCTGTCTGTCTTCACAGTGTTGCGTAACAACGCCAGTATGGTTTCTCTTACTTTGAAATTCAAGAGAAGTTGCGGGTTTCCCCATTCATGTCCTGTCAGAACAGTCAGTTTTCAACCATCCAGTGGCCAATAGAGGAACTGCAGTTGTACACACTGAACAGTCATCAGCTGATTTCAGGCTGTTTATGTGACATGCAAGTAGTCAGCCACAAGCAAACAGCTAGATGAGCAATCTGAGGTGCTTAAACTGTATTGATAACATGATTTAGGAATAAATGCACCAAAAACAAATCTTTTATTTTGAATTAATTTACTTGGAACTGTCATTTCTTTGTCTTTTATCACTCAAGTGAAATATGTGTACATTTGTCCATACGATAGTATCGGCTTCTTTAATGGAAGCGCATTATGACTTCCATATCTCTTTTAATGTATTTAAGTGTGTCTCATTTCATTCTGAAATCAGAATATGAGTGTGTGTAATAATGTTAATGTTTCCAATGATGTAAGAATATATTGACAAATTCTTTTTACTACTACATGAAAGTACATTATTATGTACATAAATGTGATAAAGTGATACTAATGTGACAAATAAGACAGTGTAACTTTAAATCTACTTAAAGTGTACATCCTACATCCTTACTAGTTATGGTTTATAAGTCGTTTTTTTAAAATGTATTTTTAATTAGTGTGCTTTGTCTGAAAAACTGTGGTCTGAAATGGAAAACCAAATGATCTGGGCGATGAGGTGAAACACCCAAACTGAAGAAAAACTCTCAAACAACCATCTGTTTGAATTACATCTCATTTAAGTGCAGTTTATTGATCTGAGGAGTATTTTCAGACGAAGAGGCAGAACAGACAAACATGATGAGACCCCCTGAGGCCTGACGCCTCCGTCACATTTCTAAACCACCATCATTTGATGACAGACTGCTGTCCATGTATTTTTTTTCCGACTGTTACTTTCAGGAAAGAAGAAGAAAATGTTCCCAAGTATATGAAACGTGCATAAAAGCGTCGCTGTTGTTTTGCGATTAAAGTTTGTCAAGTGTGTGCATGTGTGTGGCGGCACGGCTTGTAACTGTAGATCAATAATAAAATGTTAAGTCATACTTATGAGAAAATGTTTCCTTTTTTCTTCTCCACACATCTTTAGAGGGAAGGACACACGTCTCCATCAGGTTTGTTCAGATACAGAAGTTAATGTTTATATTTCTGTGAATCTGACTCAGAATTTCAGAAGGTGGGATTTTTGTTTTTTTCAGAGTTTTGTTTGAGAAGATTTTGCTCTGCATCTTGCTGATACAGTGTTTGTGTGATTTTCAATACAAATTTGGCATCAGATTTATTTTAGCCAACTACAAGTTCAGGTACTTGGTTCCTGAAGTTAAAGACACTTGTTGTGAAAGCTGACATGATTGTTTACTTTAGAAAACAACAGGGTGGCTGCAAGTACAGTCACCTTAGATTTAAGTATGTCTAATATCCTAATGTATCTATAATACCAACTACTCAAGTGTTGACATATCAGCAAACAGTTTGTATGGCTGGTGGATAGTTTACCATGACATGTTGAAGCATTCAAATTTAACTTATACTTTATTTTACTACAAATCTCCACAGGAATTTGCAAATATTTACGTACTAAAATCAATGATAATGCAGCTTATAAATCTCTGCAACTGCATAAAGTAAACTTTTACAAATTCCTGTGAATAATTATAATAAAATAAACAGTTAACTGAAAAAAGCAGCACTGAGAATCACATTTTAGACATTTTCTCCAGGACTTGCAGACACACTGTACAGTCACAAGAAACTACAGTGTTTATAACTGGTTAAATAATCAGCCGTCAAGCATCAGCAGAGGCAGAAATGGTCAGGTTTCAAGTCAGAACAAATGAGGAGGAAGCTGTGTAATACGAGGCAGAGGGGTTTTTCTAACCGTCTGTGGAGAGACATGGAGTTCACTGTAGAGATTTGAGCTCTTCAGAAAATAAAACAGCTAACAGGACAAAACGTTGACTTGTTTTACATTTGATGTAGCGACACATTTTATGGCTCACGTGCCAGGTCCAGATACAACTAACAGAATGTGTGTGTGTGTGTGTGTGTTCAGGGTCGGCAGCGCTGGATGAATCGTGGGTACAGGCAGACGTCTCTGATGTGATGTCTGTTCAGCAGCCAGGTAAGGAAGCGCTCCAGACCCAGACCGTAACCGCCATGAGGACAGGTGCCGTACTTCCTCTGAAACACACACAGTCAGACGCAGCAGCCTGTTAATACACACCATTACTAAAACAAACACAAACACAGTAACTCAGTAATAGGGTTGCCCGATCATGACCATGGGGTTACGTTATATTACATTATCCTATGAGCGAGAGAGAAAGAGGAGTAACTAAAAGAACGGACACTTGAGTGATGACAGTAAGGTGACGAATACACTTTATGGCTATGTTAAAACAAAACTGTCATCACAAATAATGCGTCACTCTCAAACTGAACTAAATGACCTGTTTTCTATCTGTCTGTCGCTCTCCTCCGCTCTTAAATCACAGCAGCTCCTACACACAACAAGCAGCTTCTTTACAATCAGCTGGTCGGAGTGTGTGTGTGTGTGTGTGTGTGTGTGTGTGTGTGTGTGTGTGTGGGTGTGTGTGTGTGTGTTGCAATCATGGTTATATGCGGTTATATACGTGAAACTGTGGCAGCCAAATAAAAGTCAAGTCAAATATGGCCTTGACATTTGCAAAGGCATGAACCGATCGTTCTGATGATCATCGATCACTAATATCATGGTCCATCGGCACAACCCTACGCAGCGAGGCCAAGTGCCCACTATATGATGTGACGACTTCTTCGCACATTTCAGCGAGGTTTCGATGCCCCAAAATGTCATGTGCATGTTTTGAAAACACGCTGCAGCATATTTTTATTTCAACATTTCACCAAAGACTTGACTCTGGCTTCTCTGTGTATCATCTGTCACATCTGTCACTCTTAAAAAACCATAATATAACAGGAAAATGTTTGGTGTTTTGTGTTAATGATCAAAATGACTAAACGATTCATCAGCTAATACAGCCGAAGAAAAAAGGGAATCCTGCCCGAGCCAAGGTGCAAAAATAAAAAAAAGCACTCTCAGTTTTCCTTTACCTGGTCAGTGTACCAGTAGTATGGGGTGGAGTCGATTCCCTCCCTCTTGTATCCGTCCAGCAGCTCCTCAGCGTCCCAGATACGCATCGAGCCTCCAACAATCTCACCAACATTTGGCATCAACACGTCAACCTGCAGTCAGTCAGTGACAGTTAGCTCATCAGTTAGTCACATAACTTCAGAGCTTTGAGTAGTAGCTTTTAGCCTTTAGTAGACTCTCTCTTTATTAAACAATTAATAAACAATTCTTAGTATATATAAATACACCTTTGCACAAGATGCTCAGGGGGGTTTACTGTATATCAGGCTAAAAATAGCTAGATATGTATCACTGCACATCTTGCAGACCATAGGAAATCATCTTACAGTCTTTCATGTACGGTCATCTGTGGTGTTTACTGCGAACAGGAGACTTTTGTTTCCTGACTTTACAGCAGGGACACACTGTCTGCGTTGCGTGGCGGCTGCGTCGCTATGCAAATTCTCTCCTCAGCTTTTATTATATGAAAATGTATGTATTCCTTTTTTATTGTTTCACAACATACAGTTTTAGTGTTTAGTGTTAGTGGTAACAGTGATAGTCAAATGCTTTATTTTGCATATAGATTAATGTGTGCAAAGATGCTGTGGCCTGTGTAATTGTGTAATTATACTGATACCTATTGATGTACAGTTTCATTATTTGCTTATATCACAGAAGCACATAGAACTTCATGTTGCACTTGTCATGCATCTGGTGCCTGAATTAAGCTTCCTGGATATTTAAGTCTCTGGTTAAGTTCTTACTGGACACTCTGCAGCGGGTCAATTCCTCATTAACTTAGTTAACTAAGTTGTTGTAGTTTTTTCAGGTTGTGTTGCCCACAGGCTTAGGTTTGTTGTTGTACTACATTACTGCATTACAGGGGCAGGTGGCAGGAAACAAACATACCCACATGACTGAATGATCAGCTCGTTTAAAAGGTCATAATGCCCAGAACTGAACTAGATTGGAGTGCGATTGAGGTTCGTACCGACTCAGTGAGGCGTTTGTCCTCAGGGCAGCGCTGCATGTAGAAGGATTTGATCTCAGCTGGGAAACGGCAGAGCAAGATGGTCTCGTTGATGCTGTCTGTCATCAACCTCTCTGGAGCCTCAGGGATGTCCTGAGAAGGAGAGACAGAGAGAAACAACAGAAAGAGGGAAACACACGTCAAAACCAACTATACTTTGCTTAAATATCAAACCGAGGCCATTGTGATGTGTAAAACAATCCAGTTTATACTTGATTGAGTAACAATTTCTTCGACGTTGTTACTGCCAAAAACTCACAGTAGGTGCAAATGTGCATTTACAATGCTGTCTAATAATAACAGAACAGATGTTAGAGAACTGATTATATTTAAGTATCATGACTGAGGAACAACATTATGAATACAGTGACAAACAGCCTGAGCTCATAAATCACTCAAATATAACCACAGATGGGATTTCTACGGCAGCCAAGAAAGGCCATTCTCGCAAATATATATATTTTTTCGTTATCTCAACATAACAAAGCTCGTTATCCCGAGATAAGTAGATACTATCAGGAGAAAACAACTTTGACCGAACCTCATACACTAAATCGTGAGTAACACTTCTCCCTAGCAACAATCCTTAGTGACTCGTTAGCTGACGAGGACTGATCTGAAAATGATCTAGTGTGAAAAGCCACAGGCTCATTTCTGCCCTTGATTGAAATATATCGTTGATCAATGCGTCGTCCTGACATTTGCACTTCACAGCTCTAGAAGTTGGCATCTGCATCTGGTCTCTGATTAACAAAGTCATTATAATGAGAAAACAAGCTTTGTTATCTCGAGATAATGGGATAAAAAAATATTTGTGAGATGGCCTTTTTCGGCTTCTGTAGATGTCAGAGTTGGTCACATGTTGCTGATGTGTATCAGGGCTTCGGTTCACAGTAAAGACAGCAGTCTGTGTGAAACGTGCAGGTGAGACCAGACGGACTGGATCTAAAGACCTGCAGGGTTCTAATGAAAGACGCTTTCAGGTGCATTATGAGAAATGTAGGATTTGTAATGAAGTATTTTTAGAGCTTAACTCACATTCAGCATATCTCAGACTATGTTGCTTTGACTTTAATCTCATGAGTCTGTAATGAAAGTGCAATACTAAATCACTGGATTACCCTTTAAAATCATTTCTTAAAACTACTATATACTTTACACAACTTTATATATCAAAAAAATGAAACCATTATTTGTTTTGCTGCTTCTGGTATTAGTACATTTTATTTGTTCAGTTTTACTATACTCCTTTCAACTTCTCATTGAAGTAAATTCATGGCCACTGATACAGTTGTGTCATGTTGACACCTGAACCAGCAGCAGCTCACTTGGAGACTGATGTGTGTTAGATATTATGATGGTTGTGTGTTGTGCGTCATGTTCAGTCGTCACCTCTCCAAACTCGTAATAGGAGCCGTCATCCTTCTTGACGTCGTGCTCTCTCAGCCACTCGATGGCTTCAGTGTAGTTCATCCTCTTGAACGGCCTCTTGGGGGGTTTGAAGTTCTGGAAAAAAAACCCAGCAAACACTACCGTCACATGTTACTCCATACGACTCCATCTGCTAATGAAGATTATGTGATCAAAAGCTCCAGAACAGCTTTGAAATGGACCTTGAGTTTTTGTCAGCTGCTATTTCCAAGGTGAAGAACGAACATTGGAGCTCAACTTTACTACCACTGTTATCATTACCACCAAGTATATAACTGATGATGCCTTAACACCTCCTTTTAACTTGAACTCGCTACCACAAAAAAGTGATGTACCGGGTTGATGTCGTAGAGCAGCTGTGCGGCGGGGGATTTGAGCACTCGGTCCACCACGTCACACACCAGGTTCTCCAGTCTGTTCAGAAGGTCCTCAAACGATATGAAGGGACACTCGGCCTCGATGTGAGTGTACCTGAAAACAGAAATTTAATTAATTAATGAAAATACAGAATTAAATAATCAGAGGGTGGCTTATAAGCTCAGTGAACAGAGACGTCCTGCTGTAACTTTTGTTGCTGCAGATGTTCGTGATGTCCACCCACATTTTCCAGATGGGATCTCAGCTTGAACATGTAGAGATGGATTTGAGAAGTTGCCATTTCCAGTCAATTATGTTACTTAGTCTTACAGTTTGCTTTCAGAACCTCGACACTGTTAAGAGGATGAGACTTCAGGAGGTTCGGTCAATCAGAATAAAGTGGGCTGTTAAGAAGCTGAGCTGATATTGCCTGTTTGAGTCAGAGGCTCCACTGAGGGGCTGGGTAACAGACAGCTTGAGATAAATAACTGTGAATCATGAAGAGCTACTGCGGCGGAGTCCCAGAATAAAACTATAGAGCTAGAAATGAGTATAATAGGTGCCCTTTAAAAGCTGGTGCTTACATTACCCACAATACAACAGTGACATCACTTGAGGCAATTCATCAGACTTTGTGTAACTCCTTCTGGAGCCACTAAAGGCTTTACACTTTTTTACATACGTAGAGACTTGGTGGGAGTCCTTTTTAACTGAATAAAGGGAAATATCCTTACAGTTTAAAATACAATTTTTTTGTCCACACTGAAACACAGTGATCACCTCCACCTAATAATTATTTAGCATCGTATGTGAGAAGAAAAAAACCCTCAAGTGCCTCTGGGCAGGTTTACTGGCTGCACCAGTTTACTAAGAAGATAGTTGACCTGATTGACAACTTCTGTATGTGTCTCATCTGCCTCCTCTACAGTCTTTGGAGAGATGTAAAAAGTTTATTATATATAAGTAATTGTTACAGTTCAGCAAACTGTGGCTGTGTTTGGGCACCTCCTCAGCTAGTGGAAGTCATGTTTTTGTTACTGCACAAAATCACTGCATGTAGCTCCGTGCCAACTATAATGTAATACCTGATGATCACTGCAGGATGTAGGTTTAAGCTCCATGTCACAGTTATCAGTATGTGCTCTGACTAAAAGCCAAATGTGATGGTAAAGGGAAAAAGTGCAGAGTTAATTACCCTAACTGTGCAGCTTCAGGGTAAATATTTGGGCGTGAGCAAATTCTGTGCTGAAGTCAGTAACTGAGACGCTGTCATGATGCATGTCATGTCTTTTCAGTATTTTAGAAATGTATCATGAAATAATATGTTGGGAATGTGGTTGAAGGGTGAGGGTATGCTGTGTGGTGCTAGGACATATAATACATGGTATATGTTGATATATGTGATGTCATCTTGCTGCACTTTCTCAGTGTGTATGTTTAAAGGACGAAGTAAATTAACTAAAATTCTGACAAAAAAGACATTTATAATTTAAACAAGATGAATTTGTACATTTTCCTCTGGACAGACTGAGGTTTGTCAGTTGTTCAACCACACTACATAATTCACAGTCTGAATCAGTGTTCACACTTTCTTCCTCTCTGTTTTTCAGTTCCTACACAGAGCTAATTTAGTGTAGTTATTTGTGAACGCGTTGAACAGCACACTCACTCAGACAGGTGTCTCCGGGTGCGAGACTGCTCGGCCCGGTACGACTGGGCGATGCAGAAGGTGTCGCCCAGGGCAGGTATGCAGGTCTCCAGGTAGAGCTGGGATGATTGCGTCAGGTACGCCTGCTCGCCAAAGTAGTTGAGGTTAAACAGCGTGGAGCCGCCCTCCACCTGAGTCTGCACCAGGGTCGGAGGAGTGATCTACACCCAGTGAAAAAGCAGGAAACAAAACAGCCGTTAGAGAATCTGTGATCCTGAGCTCACAGTTTTCTGATCTACAACAGAACAGCATGTATATCTGCTGTAAGACGCTCATTGAATCTTTAATCCCCTCTGCTTCATGTGCACAGACCAACATACAAAACATTCAGATGGCAGGATAGTTCTTAAATAGTATTAAAAGTAATAATGCTGAAGGTGTTCATGAAATAAAACTTATTATTCATGGCCTGCATTTTTTAACTGAGCAACAGCCATTCACTATATTTATATTATGTAATTAACTCTCTAAATAGTAGTATTTAATTTTATTTGCAGAATTTGTCATTCCCACACTGACTTAATTGATTACCTACACAACCACACATGCATGTAATCTTTGCACCTCATTGGTATCAGCCTTACTGTTTACTGCAGCTGTATCAGAGCTGTATTAAGTTACTGCTTAGCCAAACAAACATTTCCTAATATTGCTTCACATTAAAAGCATTCGAAAAAAGCAAAGCATGCAGTTATTTTTATTGTGAAGCAGTCACAGTAAATGCTGTGTATTGATCACTGCAGTTAACAGTAACCACAAGCATTCATTAGAAATGCTTCTACAAACTAAGACAGTGATCATGTTCCACACAAGTTTTAAATTCTTCCAAGGCATCAATGGAAAAGTCAGGAGCACAACTCCGACGCCTCAGCAAGGTAACAAACTTTACTGTGTCCCGCTTTTGTTTGGAAAACTACTTGTGGCTTGTGCAGCATGGAATCAGATCCTGGTTGTCAGAACTTTTGACTCACTAGATTAAAACAACTTGAGTTTGTTTGGCTGCACTAGAAACAGACACATCAGCTGCTCTTCTGTCGGGTTTCTGACAAAGCAGCTGCTCCATGGCTGTTTGTTGTAGTATTAAACCACACTTACCATTATGACAATAACCACGGTGTTGCTAAATCAACCAAGACTGAAATCTTAAGGATTGTAACTTTAAGATAACTCAACATAGTCAATAATGGATTTGAAAAGCATATTTGGTACTGGACTCATATTTGGCAGATTGCTACTGAAGCTCTAGATAAGACAATCAGCTGAAGTCTACAAACTCTGGCTGCGGACATTTGCAGATTAAATGTGCACACAAACCAAGTAGCTGAACAAGAGAAAAATGAACCCTTATCTTGCTGCCTCAAAGAGACTCTCTAGTAAAACTGCACTGCCATGACAATAAGAATTCAGAATTCAGTAAGAGGCTAAGTGACTTGTTAAGATGTAGTTATTCAGCTGCACAGAACTCAAAGCCTGTGGCTGAGGAGAAAAGAAGGAAAAGCTGCTTGTTTATTTTAGTGAAGGTCAACACTTGACTTTTACAGACCTGCCACCTTTTTTATTCCAATCCGAGCACAAGCTACAGCTGATATAACCTGCCATCTGTGATGTGAGTCATGTCAACCAATTAAAGCAACAGTCTCAACCAGCTAAAAGTGAGAAGTCTTCTATAATCAAATGTTTTGTATGTTGCTCTTTGCTCACAAAAAATTAATTAAAATAAAATTAGAGGATTTGTTATGAACCTGGAACTGAAGAACCTTTTTTTTTTTTTTTTTTTTTTTTAAATGAAAAATATATAGAATATATTTGAAACTCAAAACGTGACTGTATCAAGGAATAACTTGTCATTTCAGTTGCTGTGCTTCACCTCGTAGTATCCCTGGCTGAAGAAGTGATCCCTGAAGCACTGTGTGACGGTGGATCGGACTCGGAGGACCTTGGAGACGTTCTCTCCTCTGATCAGCATGTGACGGTTGTTCAGCTGGACGTCGACATCAGACTCTTCGTTCAGCAGATTGTCGGCCCCGCCCGCCGGAGCTAAACCGATCAGCTCCCAGAAGTCACAGTGCAGCTCATGGCCTCCGGGCGCCTGGGAGAGGAAGACGAGAACTCACTGACGACCTCATCATGTTTTATTTATGTATTGTATTTCACTGGTAACACTGGTGCTACTGAGTTTCTCAGTTGGTTGGACTAGCACATGATTTCACACCCCTTCCTTGTGAAAGAGGAGAGGCTCAGTGTTTCAGGTGATTATACTATTATGAGAAGTGTAAAAATATTTTCGGTTTATTATGAAATTGTGGCAGGATGAAACATTGGGTCCCTGCAGGTTCCGTGTTTCTTATCATCATTGTGTAACTAAAAAGTGCTTTAACTGTTTAAACCCACTAACAAGTTTAGAATCAGGAGCAATGGGTGGGTCATATAGTCTACAACACACTCACAGTCCAGCATTCCCCTTGAGACGTAACCATGTTAGTAAGGAGTACTTTTTTCGTCTTCACTGGCTCATTCAGTGTCTCCCTGCAGACTGCACTCTCATCATCAGCTGTATCTGAGTTTCAAATATTCCGCTGTCGACGGCTGAGCCAGTGAAAAAGAAAAAGGTACTACTTTCAACCACAATGGTCAACACAGTACCTGTGCAAGAAGGGCTCCAAATGATCATCATGCCCTCATACGAATGTGAACATGTGAAATTTTAACTCATACCCTCTCAAAAATGGTTGTATATGTGACCACTTTGGTCTTTCTTAATTATCAAATATAAATGATACCCTAGGATAAGGTGCTCCACTGCAAATATTTTAATTACCAAGTACTTTTGTGACAAATAAATAACAATACACACAGCTCCATTGCTTCACTTTGTGTCAAACAAATATCATTACACATGCAGTATTAAAGGTCATTAGGACACTGAGCAGCCTCCTCAAGCCTAAAAAGCTGAACATTTCTTAACTTCGATGAAATCTGTGCCTTTAGGAAAAAACTGAAGCACATTATAAGGCAGAAATCTGACTACTTACCTACAGCATGTATAAGTAGTTATTACAGTAACAATGTAAGGTACAGTGTACAATGGCAAACAACACATTTACATGTACAGCGGATGTAAACTTGTTGTCTGATTTCCTGTGTAACCACATTTCCCTCAGCGACCTGCTTTGCTGTGTGTGTGTGTGTGTGTGTACTGCAGGTGTTGACTGTGGCAGAAGGTGTGTTTACCTGTTTCCCCTCAGGAACTGGAGTGACGGTCCCGTACAGAGCCACTGTACTCTCTGTGGACAGCAGCAAGCCGTTGTAGCACTGGCACTGAAGACAAGAAGAAAACACGTTGGTCACAATCATGATCAGCCTCTCAGCTTGAAAAATTAAACTCCAACATGTGTGATATCAATAACTTTCCACCAAAATGTGCCAATTCTTTTTGAAGTGCCTTATATTGAATTATAGATTTGTACATTTTAATCTAATCTAATACATTTTTTGGAGGAACTTTATCCTGTCTCAATTTAATTTAATTTCAAAATAAAATTGCTTAGACCTAGCTGCTTTACGTTTGTTGTCCTTTGGTGCTTTTACCCCTTTTGTCCAATCTTAAATTGTTATATTACATGTATAAAGACCAAAAATGACAGCACAGTGATGTAACCTACTTTAAAAGCTGCAAAAAGAAGAAGGTATAATGTTGTACCAGTTTATCAGACAGGACACACTGGAGGAAACCAGTTCCATCTCTCAGCACAATGAACATCAGGTTCTTCCCTGGAAGAGACAAAAATATACAGTGAACAGTCAAATCTGACACCAGAGACAGAAACAAATCTAACACAGAAACCAACGTCACACTCAGTGGTGTGATTTGACTGAAAATTGATCAAGAACAACAAAAAGTTAAAACCCATTGTTTTCATGTGTTATGCTCCTCACCTTGTCTCCTAAGGCGATGAACCCATCCAAACACTTTGACTCTTTGACCTCTCTTTGGCTCCAGATGCTGAATTTTAACCTGTAAAACACATCCCCCCTCTTCTTTAGCTCACTCACATCGAGGGCTGAGCACTGAACCTCAGGACATTATTTGTACAGATAAAAAGAAGTTTGTCGCACAGAGCACATCAACAGCTGTCAACTACTGAAAGTTGGCATTGAATATCTGGTCAGATTTGTCAAATTTGACCTGCTGAGGATAAATAAAGTTATTTGGATTGAAATGAAATGTAATGATACGCTTTTTAAAACAGCTAGAAATGAAACAAATTGTTAGATTATAAAAACCTTATTTTAAATTCTAAGCAGTGTGTGAGCATTTGAAGCAATAGTTTGGAAAATACTACAAAAATTGTCTGACCAATACCCCACGTTTTTGTACATATTCATACATAATGTATTTGTCAACAACTGCAACTCCTCATTTTCATCCACATCCTTAATATAAACACTTTAATGATAATGATAATGATAATATGCTATAGTTGTAATCATTTACAATGATAACATCCTCCTGAGTTCTGATACTTTCAACTGCTTATATAATGTGTTATTGTAAAATATAATCCAGATTAAATATTTTATACTGGTTATAAATGCTCAATAATAAAAATGAATTGCCCCAAAAATCATTAGATTAAAGTTTTAACAGTTACATTCACCAACGTCAGGAGTAATTCAATAACAGAAACAGTGTGAATGTGAGAGTCTGACCGATTCAGGGTCAGGCAGGCTGGGGTCTTTCTCAATGACGATCTTCTTGGCTTCCTCCAGGTTCTTCTCTCTCCTGTCGTTGTCCTCTGCCTGCACAACAAACATGCAGCAAACATTTAAAGACACTAAAGCAGCACACAGAATGAAAAACAAATATCCTGGAGTGAGTTTTTATGACTCACTGATAGAAGGAAAAAACATGAAGTTGCACTTAAAGTAAACCATCTCTTTTATGTTCCTGTGGCAGAAGCTGATGTGAAGCGCGCACACATGCACACGCACACACACCTCCTTCTTCTCTTTGGCATCGCTCTTCATCTGCTCACGGTTGAAGGCCTTCTTTGCATTCTTCATCTGCGTTTTAGAGATAACTGCCCAACGCTAAGGAACAGAAAGAGAAGAAACACATTGATGAAGAGACTAAGAAACTTCCAGTGAACTAATAAAAGCAACGTATAAGGGTGGGTCAACTTCTTCTTGTCAGAGACTGTGGGTTTTTACATGTCAATGCTTTTTCTAAATTTTAGTCTATGTGAGGTCTAGTCTATGTCAGCTACAGTGTACAGTATCGAGTACATCAAGCAGCATCTTGACCTGATTTCTGAAGGTTTTCAACAGCAGCCAAACACAGCAGCAAACAACCACAGTGACAACAACCTTCCTGTGAGAGGATAAACTAGGAAGTGAAAGCAGATGCTGCTGCTTTGACTGGAAAAACAAACTGCTAACTTGTGCACAAAACAGTAAAGAAAGGATTTCTTCATGTAAACCAAGACAGGATAATTTTTTGTCTTTTTAGTAGGAAGATATCATGAATGTTAAAGTGCCATACAAACAAACATATGAATAATATTAATAACTTTTTTAACCAACCTCTCCCTCCTTCTGTGATTCTACATAGATGGTCGGGAACGGCTCCTTCCCAGCAAACATCAGAGCCTGTGAGGATTTGATAACACAACAAGGTGTTGACACACATGACATCAATAATATCACTGCTTGCATGAAGCACTTTAAACGCCACATACCTGAATATATAATAAAAGTAGTGGTACATCATGCTACATGACTGCTGACCTTGAGAGGAGTTTTGAAGGGTTTCTGCTCCGTGCCGTCTCCATCCTGGTCGCTGCCACTTTTGTCCGACACATACAGCTCACCTGAGAAACAGAGGCAGAGTGAGACGCCCGACTCCCTCCTAGTCAATAAAAAATACCTGTGAAAAACATGTTTTTTAATATTTGCTAGAAATTAAAGTTTGCAGCTGTTTAAGGAAGTTATTAAGCTATTTTTCATACAAAATTAAACTCCTGATGCCCAAAGCGGCAAGATGAATGACAGAGAACGGATTCTCCCTGAGACCATAAAATCCAGATATGTATATTTCCATTAAAACCAACAAGAGCCTTGTTGAAGGATGAGTCAGGTTTTCCTCATGGACAAACATTTGAAAGTGCTTAGTCATATGAGGCTTTACCAGTCTGGTAACAATATGCTGGTGATGTCACAAAAGGGACCCTGCAGGGAGGTTTGGGTTAGTGACACCTGCCAATCAAAGCAAACGCATCCATAAACATACCCTATATGGCCAAAAGTATGTGGACAATTGAGTCAGCTTGGGCTTCCTGAGTTTTCACACAGTAAAACAAAGAACATAAACAGTGACTGTGCAGCAACAGTTTCCTGTTCACTAATAACTTATGGCAAAACTGAAAATACCTGGATGTAACCTCAGTTCTGTAACTACATGTATGGTAATGTATACCCCACCATTGCTCAATATCACAAAGTGAGTGAAAATAATATGAGCATATTCACAGTTACTGTGGGGAATATAATTCAAAGTACAATATGTTAAAATCACATTAAACAGAACCCTCTAGCGCCGATGCTGCATTACAAATTCAAAACCTACATTGACATATAAAGTTATGGCAGAAATTGAATTAAGCCCTACCATGAATTATGTGAAAAGCAGCCCCAGACCAAAAATACACCAAAAGATGTGGCCAGAGGTTACCAGATACTTAGAACTATACCGTGTGGGTTTCCTCCACCTTAAAATCTTCCATTTTCAAAACCATCGCCAATATTTGCTGTAAAATTTGTAAAAATGTTCATGATTCGCTTCAAAACAGTCAGTACTTTAAGGAGGCAGCACCCAGTAGCCACCAGAGGTACAGAGGCTCATCACACTTTCACTTTATGCATGTAACACTGACATTAGGTGCAATGTGTAGCCTACTATAGATCTTTATATACACCCCATAGATGTCTCTGGGTGGATCCAGACTAGCTTGATACTACATATAGTGAAACGCTGAGAGACGAAACTGAAGTCACATCCGGTGTCTCTATGGAATCAAAAGAATTAATTGATATTATGGAGCGACTAAAAGACAGAATAATTACAAAGCGAGGTCAGATTCATACACCGGGTTAACTGACTGACGCAGCCTCTTAGCTGCTGCATTGCAAACTGACAGCTGTCATAGCTACATATTAGCTTAGGTTCTGCGACTTTCATTCAGGCGACTGCTCTACATATGTTCGCGTCTGTGTAAATATGTTCCATTTGAGTCTACATCGAATCAGAAACCAGCGTTAGCTACATGCTAACTGCTAACACATCTAAAACTGATGCAATACGCCAAACACACATGTCTCTGGTAGCTGGCTAACTAGCTAGCTAGCTTTGGTCTAAGCTACTTTCCTTCTTACCCACTGAGACTTGCTCCACACCTTTTGTTATCTCCGCCATGTCAGTCCAGTTGCTACGACAGTCCGCTAAGGAGGGGAAATTAAATAATTTTGATTCAGAACAATGGAAATGAAACCCCAAGGAGTGACTGCCGGTGGTGCCTATTCAGCCACGGACATGCAACTTTACATCAGCCCAACCGCAGCTCGCTGTAATCGTCAGAGAAGATAGCCTTCTTCCTTACTGCACAGTTCTCTAGCGCTGATTGGCCAGGATGGAAACGTCAGTCCCATAACAGCAAATCCGATTGGTTGTGTTTCTTGTCAGCATTAAAATGATGCTCAATCAGGTCAATCACACAAATCTGTTTCTCAGGAAAATATATGTAGATAAAAGTGTGTGTTAATAATGTTGTCGTTTCACCCTCAGGGCCACCATATTACTTTGAAATTATTATCTTTCAGGAATCCTTACCATTAACTATGCTGAAAGATTTTGTTTTATAGCCCTGGTATGACAAAATGATTTGAGTTGGTAACAGATATTACGTATGGAAGCGTAATGCATTAAATCTGCTCTGTTTTTCTGAATTAACGACATAATTGTGTCATTGATCTATAAAACAAATTAAAAAACAATACTTTTTTTTCTCAAATAACGAGATAATTATCTCGTTGATTGAGAAAAACATGATTTTTAAAAGCTTCTCTAAAAAAGAAATTTAAAAAAAAATCTTTTTTTTTTAGACTTGTGCGTGACTTGTGTACTGTATTATGATGTACATACTGATTAATGTGTAGTATTTTATTTAACTATGGTTGCAACCAGTGAGGGACACGTTGACTGTTGGATGATTTAGTCTCAGGTCATTGTTTCATGCAGCAGCTCCACCTGCTGTTCAAACTAAGAAACTACCAGAGGAAGTTATATACATCAGTTAAAATCAGTCTCTCGCTGCAGTAATGGAACCATGTTCTCTCTACTCCATGTTCACTGGTATGTGTGCATTGATGTTAATGACTGATGATCGATCGAGTTACTTATGAAAAAGTTTTTCTGCCCCCACAGAAACAAGCAACAAAAAGCCTTATTCGTATATAGGCTATATAATACATCAATCTATACATAACACATACACACCCTTGTAAAATTTAAAATAAATAAACATATTCCAAAAAACCAGCCAGAAAAGAAAAATCCTGAAATAAACCTTTACACATTTAAACAGTTTTGTCAACCATATTTTTCAGAATCGTAATTTGGATTTCACATCTGCTCTAAACATATATCACTTTGTTGAGTTTTAGGGTAGGAAAATGTGTTCTACTGTTTTAGTTACAACTTACTTTAATGTTCTCTCCAGCAGCTTTGACAGTTGATTAATGAGTTCAAAAAATAACTTACAACAATGTAATTCTTTAGCAAAAATAACTTTATTGATTGATTAATTGTGATTAATTGATTTGATTAACATATGATTAATGATTCAGTGATAGAGACAAGGCTTGTTTTGCTGCTCCTTAAGGTCCCATGAAGTGAGACACTAGAAAATATCACTAGAAAATATGACAGCAACAATATATATATATATAAAGTATATAACAAAACAGGAAGGAAAACACACAAAAGAAAAGATTTACATAGACCACACAATAAGTTTCAGATTTCTCATAAATAAAATTGTCAATACCAGCAGTTTTTTTCAAAGATCTCTAGAATTTGGCAAAAATCTGTGTATTTCACTACAAATACCCCAAAATCTAATAAAGTGCATCATGAGATTTTGCTCTGTATTAAAACTGTCCATTCATTTCTTTGCTAAATATGTGTCACGTTCTGAGATACCTCCCTGTTGCCCTGACCTTTCAAATCAAAGGATATACTTTAGCTTGCAGGAATGGTTCTTATCACAATGTCACTGCACAGATTAAAATAAGAAATATCTGAAATTGATAAATGTATATTTTTTTCTATAATTTCTAATGCATTATTTTTGTTATTCTTTAAAAAACTATGGATAAAAATTTCAGACATATGAAAGAAGACATCAGAGTCACCTGATGGGCAGGTGATCTCTGGAAAGTCCGGCACTAAAACACTACAGCAAAGAGAGCTCAGTAACAAAATTGAATCAGTCTACTTGAGCTCACACAGCTCAGCTGTAGATACAAAATCAAGCCTAAGTCCAGCGTAGAGAGGCTGAGTGAATGTGGTCTGGACTCTGTGCAGGAGAGTCATGGTTTGAGAGACGCTGTAGAAGGACAGAACACCTGCTCTGTGATCCAGGTACACTCCTACTCTGGAGGACTGAGGGCCTGAGACGGGAGTTTTTCTTTTGTTATGTCTGAATTCATAACTTTTGTTGACACATTCTAAAACCCAAGACTTATCATTGTGTCCAAATCCACTTTCATCTCCTGTTCTGTTTATGTCCTTGTATGTGACTGCTACTGAAACTCCTCCTCCACTCCACTCCACCTCCCAGTAACAACGTCTGGTCAGACTCTCTCTGCTCAGGACCTGAATCCTGTTAGTGAAACTGGGTGATTCTGATTCTCTGACATATAAGTCTACTGCAAACTGCACCACTCCTAAAAATGATGGTTCCATTACTGCTGCTTTTCTGTTCCCTTGTAATATCAACAATGTGTGAGCTGTGTTTGGATCCAGTGTGATTTGTTTTGAATATTGTAAGAATTCACCTCTGGTCTTGGGCTCTGCTGGTGGCAGTAAAACGTTCACTTCAGCCAGTGTCAGTGAGATCTTGGGCCATAACTCATTAAAAATGTCATAGAATTTGTCTCTGGCCTCTGATGCAGCTGCCACCACATCCTCAAAGTAGCTCAGAGGACGGATATTGATGCTGGGGGAGTCTGTACATTCACTGGCTTGTGACAGTGAAGTGTAATTGCGGAGAAAGTGGGAGTGATCAGGTGTGTGTGAGAGCTCCTCCAGCTCAGCATCTGTCCTCCTCAGTCTGGTGATCTCCTGCTGCAGTTCCTCCTCGTACTGTTTGGCCCGACTGACCTCAGTTTTCTGCCGGGATCTGATCTGCTTCTTCAGATCAGAGCTTCTTCTCTCAATGAGACGGATCAGATCTGTGAAGATCTTCTCACTGTTTGTCACTGCTTTATCAGCAGAGTGATTAATGGCCTCCACCTCCTGCTGAAGCACCTTCACATTTTTCTCTCTGCCCTGGATCCTCTGCTGGATTATTTGTCGACTCATCCCGAGCTCTCTCTGCCTCTCAGCCCTTTCTGCTTCTGCCAAGACGAAGTCGTGTTCTTTATGTTCAGCCATGGAGCAGAGATAACAGATACACTGCTGATCAGTGCGGCAGAAAATCTTCATCACTTCACCATGACGAGTACAGATGTTCTCCTGGAGCTTCTTGGAGGGGTTGACCAGCTTGTGTTTTTCAAAGGCAGGAGATTCATAGTGAGGCTGGAGGTGCTGCTCACAGTAAGACACCTGACACTGCAGACAGGATTTGACAGCTTTCAGTTTTCTCCCAGTGCAGAAATCACAGGCCACATCTTCAGGTCCGGTATAGCAGTGATCAGCTGGAGCAGCTTGGAGTCCAGTCTTCTTCAGTTCCTCCACTAACTCTGCTAACATGGTGTTTTTCACCAGGACAGGTCTCGGTCTGAAGGTCTGTCTGCACTGAGGACAGCTGTGTCTTTTCTTCATGTCTTTTTCATCCCAGAAGCATTTAATACATTCCATACAGTAGTTGTGTCCACAGGGAATAGTCACTGGATCCTTCAGTAGATCCAAACAGATGGAACAGCAGAGTTTTTCCTCGTCCAGCTGAATTCCTCGCTGCGCCATTTCACCTCCGAGAGACGGCGAAAATCAAATCACTTCCAAGTAAAAGCTGCCTTCTGATCCAAACCAAAGCTCGATTTCTTTTCTTAATTTTCACTTGCTCTTCTGCAGTGAATGGGGCTCGTCTGTTGGAAATTCACAGAATTACGATTACACACTGGGATCTGTTAAGTGGCAGATCTCTGAAGGGGGCAGAAAGCCGGAAGCATCTGTTATAAAAACGACTGGCTGAATTTTAGAACAGGAAGAGGAAGGAGTGGTTATTATGCTTGGGTTCCTTACAGGAAGAGGAGTGGTTTCTGCAAAGCAGTGTGTGCTTTTGGGTCCTGTTACTGATTAAATGAGTGTGAGACATAAAACTGGGCAAGTTCAACCTAGTAACATGTTTTGCTCACAATCAGTTACTGTAAAGTTCCCCTTTGAATAGTGTTTCTTCATTAGAATACTGCAGCACCCTTCACTGCTCAAATATCGACAGAATTAAATGAATTAGCATCCTGTAATGACCATTTGCTGTTGGAACTGCTCAGCAAATTTACATAGTCTCTCTGCTGAATCACCAAAGTTGGCATTATACTCCTTCAAAAGTATCCGAATACATCAGAGAGTTTTATAATGGGACGCTGTAGGTCACAGAGGAGCTGACATGCATATCTCAATCTCGATAAAAGGCTGGAACATCTTTGTCCTTCGGCACATAGCGTCATTCATATTTCATGTTTCTTTTATATTTAAACTTGGTGTTAATGTGTCTGTTTCAAACTCTCCTCCTGACTGGAGGTGGGATCAGCATGACAGCTCGCTTGATGTGTGAGAGAGAAACAAAAACACAAGGGAGCGGGAAAAACTGTAGAAACACTAGGAACGAGGGAGAGATGCCACGAGACCAAAACATACAAGGTCAATTATCAAAAAAAAAAAGGTAGGATAACAGACAGGCGACTTTGTTCTCGTGGCTCCGCCGGTGGAGTGCGTGTAATTAGGACTTAGTCTTTGCCGTGGCCCTTTTCTGCTTGTCATCCTCTCTCTGTTACTATGAATGTAATAAAGGCAAAAGCCTAAAAAAATTTATTTGAAAAAGAAAGTTAGGCTGTCTCTTCTAACTATATCTCTGATTGATCATGTTACAGTAAATGCAGCTGAAATCACAGCTCAGTCTTTGGCTTTAATTTAGGCATTTCTTTAGGCCTCACAAACATATTTAAATGAAAAAGTGGTCTAAAGCTCAACTTAGAACTTGTGATATTTCTTGAGATAAATTTCAACCTTTTGTGGCTCGTTGGTCTAGGGGTATGATTCTCGCTTAGGGTGCGAGAGGTCCCGGGTTCAACTCCCGGACGAGCCCCTTCTTTGCAAACGTCTGGTAGTGGCCATTGGTATTAACCCTGAAATGCACCTGAGTTCTCTGTGAACATGTTAGAACATGTGCTCTTTGCTCATGTCTCCTCAATTGACATTAGTATCAAGTGTATGTTTAGATACCTTGTAGAAGGCATTATGAATCTCTTAAGTGTTCATTCAGCTCTGACTGTGCTTTTCTTTAGACCTCAAAAACATATTTAATTGTTCAAACAAAAAAATGTTTTAAAGCTCAACTTAGAACTTGCGATTTTTCTTGAGATAAATTTCAACCTTTTGTGGCTCGTTGGTCTAGGGGGATGATTCTCGCTTTGGGTGCGAGAGGTCCCGGGTTCAACTCCCGGACGAGCCCCTTCTTTGGAATTCAACAGTGGTAGCCGTTTGTGTCACGTGAGCCCTTTGGAACGATGCAGTGATGGTTGTTCTCCACATGTGTGTCAAAGCAGACCTACCAGAGCAATTAAAAGGGTTTGTCATTTGGACATTGCAAGCATGCACATATGCACAAGGGTGACAAATGACAGAGAAAACTAACATAGACTGTATAAACATGTTTTTGGGCCAGCAGAACACCTTCAATGTGCCCCAGCGTTGATTCTACAAGTCTATGGAATCTACAGAAGGCATGGAACGCCATTTTTCTTGTCTATTCTCTATGGTTTACTTCACCTGCTATTTTGCCAAGGGTTTGTTCTAGAAAATGGATATTCTTAAGTAAAGCACTGTTGAAATGTCTTTTTAGTGAAAATGCTAACAACTAACAGACAGCTGAAAGATGATAAGCAAGTAGGAACCACAAGTTCTCACTGTGTCTTTGTCACAAATTTGTGTTATGTTTAAAAGCTCAGTTTAGAACTTGCAATTCTTCTTGAGATAAATTTCAACCTTTTGTGGCTCGTTGGTCTAGGGGTATGATTCTCGCTTTGGGTGCGAGAGGTCCCGGGTTCAACTCCCGGACGAGCCCATTCTTCGGAATGATGCAGTTATGGTCGTTCTCCACATGTGTGTCAAAGCAGACCTACCAGAGCGATTAAAAGGGTTTGTCATTTGGACATTGCAAGCAAGCATATATGCACAAGGGTGACAAATGACAGAGAAAACTAACATAGACTGTATAAACATGTTTTTGGGCCAGCAGAGCACCTTCAATGTGCCCCAGCTTTGATTCTACAAGTCTATGGAATCTACAGAAGGCATGGAACGCCATTTTTCTTGTCTATTCTCTATGGTTTACTTCACCTGCTATTTTGCCAAGGGTTTGTTCTAGAAAATGGATATTCTTAAGTAAAGCACTGTTGAAATGTCTTTTTAGTGAAAATGCTAACAACTAACAGACAGCTGAAAGATGATAAGCAAGTAGGAACCACAAGTTCTCACTGTGTCTTTGTCACAAATTTGTGTTATGTTTAAAAGCTCAGCTTAGAACTTGCAATTCTTCTTGAGATAAATTTCAACCTTTTGTGGCTCGTTGGTCTAGGGGTATGATTCTCGCTTAGGGTGCGAGAGGTCCCGGGTTCAACTCCCGGACGAGCCCCTTCTTTGCAAACGTCTGGTAGTGGCCATTGGTATTAACCCTGAAATGCACCTGAGTTCTCTGTGAATATGTTAGAACATGTGCTCTTTTCTCATGTCTCCTCCTTTGACATTAGTATCAAGTGTATGTTTAGATACCTTGTAGAAGGTATTATGAATCTCTTAACTATTCATTCAGATCTGATTGAGCTTTTCTTTAGACCTCACAAACATATTTAATTGTTCAAACAAAAAAATGTTCTAAAGCTCAACTTAGAACTTGCGATTTTTCTTGAGATAAATTTCAACCTTTTGTGGCTCGTTGGTCTAGGGGTATGATTCTCGCTTTGGGTGCGAGAGGTCCCGGGTTCAACTCCCGGACGAGCCCATTCTTTGGAATGATGCAGTTATGGTCGTTCTCCACATGTGTGTCAAAGCAGACCTACCAGAGCGATTAAAAGGGTTTGTCATTTGGACATTGCAAGCATGCACATATGCACAAGGGTGACAAATGACAGAGAAAACTAACATAAACTGTCTAAACATGTTTTTGGGCCAGCAGAGCACCTTCAATGTGCCCCAGCGTTGATTCTACAAGTCTATGGAATCTACAGAAGGCATGGAACGCCATTTTTCTTGTCTATTCTCTATGGTTTACTTCACCTGCTATTTTACCAAGCGGTGTTTCTAGAAAATGGATATTCTTAAGTAAAGCACTGTTGAAATGTCTTTTTAGTGAAAATGCTAACAACTAACAGACAGCTGAAAGATGATAAGCAAGTAGGAACCACAAGTTCTCACTGTGTCTTTGTCACAAATTTGTGTTATGTTTAAAAGCTCAGCTTAGAATTTGAGATTTTTCTTGAGATAAATGCCAACCTTTTATGGCTCGTTGGTCTAGGGGTATGATTCTCGCTTAGGGTGCGAGAGGTCCCGGGTTCAACTCCCGGACGAGCCCCTTCTTTGCAAACGTCTGGTAGTGGCCATTGGTATTAACCCTGAAATGCACCTGAGTTCTCTGTGAATATGTTAGAACATGTGCTCTTTTCTCATGTCTCCTCCTTTGACATTAGTATCAAGTGTATGTTTAGATACCTTGTAGAAGGTATTATGAATCTCTTAACTATTCATTCAGATCTGATTGAGCTTTTCTTTAGACCTCACAAACATATTTAATTGTTCAAACAAAAAAATGTTCTAAAGCTCAACTTAGAACTTGCGATTTTTCTTGAGATAAATTTCAACCTTTTGTGGCTCGTTGGTCTAGGGGTATGATTCTCGCTTTGGGTGCGAGAGGTCCCGGGTTCAACTCCCGGACGAGCCCATTCTTCGGAATGATGCAGTTATGGTCGTTCTCCACATGTGTGTCAAAGCAGACCTACCAGAGCGATTAAAAGGGTTTGTCATTTGGACATTGCAAGCATGCACATATGCACAAGGGTGACAAATGACAGAGAAAACTAACATAAACTGTCTAAACATGTTTTTGGGCCAGCAGAGCACCTTCAATGTGCCCCAGCGTTGATTCTACAAGTCTATGGAATCTACAGAAGGCATGGAACGCCATTTTTCTTGTCTATTCTCTATGGTTTACTTCACCTGCTATTTTACCAAGCGGTGTTTCTAGAAAATGGATATTCTTAAGTAAAGCACTGTTGAAATGTCTTTTTAGTGAAAATGCTAACAACTAACAGACAGCTGAAAGATGATAAGCAAGTAGGAACCACAAGTTCTCACTGTGTCTTTGTCACAAATTTGTGTTATGTTTAAAAGCTCAGTTTAGAACTTGCAATTCTTCTTGAGATAAATTTCAACCTTTTGTGGCTCGTTGGTCTAGGGGTATGATTCTCGCTTAGGGTGCGAGAGGTCCCGGGTTCAACTCCCGGACGAGCCCCTTCTTTGCAAACGTCTGGTAGTGGCCATTGGTATTAACCCTGAAATGCACCTGAGTTCTCTGTGAACATGTTAGAACATGTGCTCTTTGCTCATGTCTCCTCCTTTGACATTAGTATCAAGTGTATGTTTAGATACCTTGTAGAAGGTATTATGAATCTCTTAACTGTTCATTCAGCAAGTAGGAACCACAAGTTCTCACTGTGTCTTTGTCACAAATTTTTGTTATGTTTAAAAGCTCAGTTTAGAACTTGCGATTTTCAACCTTTTGTGGCTCGTTGGTCTAGGGCACACCTGGGCATTTTACAGCCCGTGGGCTGTCTCAGTCCAGCCTGCGACATCCACAGAGGGGAAAAGAAGAAAAGAAATAAAAATCCTGCATCATAGAGGCATATGAGTTTGGACTGTTATACGATCTGACTGCAACAGAGGGCGCTATTTTCAATTTGGAGTGGGTGAAAATGCATAAAAGTAAGCTACATGCTGGCTCATAAGCTAGCCAAACACAGCAGGTTGTTTTCAGAGGGTGAGTTTTTGAAAGACTGTATGGTTGAGACTGCTAGCATCCTGTGCATTGACAATAAAAGTCAGTTTGAAAAAATCAGTCTGTCTCATGGGACAGGCGTGTGGAAGTAATTGATGAAGACTTGTTAATTGTAATATTCATGAGTATGATCATGTATTTGTTTAAAAAGGGCTAGTGAATAACACAATCAAGCCCACCAAATCTATGTACTGGTAGTTTAAAGTAATTCTGCACTAAATATTTCATGTTTAAATTTTATTTCCAATTGTGTGGCCCTTCACTTACTTTAACAGAGTCAGTATGGCCCGCTGGAAAAAAATATTGCCCACCCCTGTTCTAGATACTCAGACTGCACTTTGTTGTTTTCCCTCTGTTATACTGTCATGTACGTTTCAGATTTTGTTCAGCAACTTTAACAGAGTTCCTGGAAATAAGTTTTTAAAATCATTTATTCATTCTTAGTGGAACAAAATGTACTTTATTGATTTACTTTGTTGACATATGCAATCATTCATTCATTCATTTTCTACCGCTTATCCTCTAGTAGGGTCGTGGGGGGGCTGGAGACAATCCAAGCATCCTTTCAGGCGAGAGGCGGGGTACAGTATTCGAGTATTCAATCAGCCTAGTTCCCACTTGCATGTCTTTGGACTGTGGGAGGAAGCCAGAGTACCCAGAGAGAATGGGTACCGCACGGGGAGAACATGCAAACTCCACACAGAAAGACCCCATGTCCGAGCCGGGACTCGAACCCGGAACCTTCTTGCTGTGAGGCAATAGCGCTAACCACTGCACCACCGTGCAGCCCCATGTGCATTCTGTAAATCTTAAATCACTCTTGTTCAGTTGTACCATCCACATATTCACTTTACATCACACAGTCTGTAAAACCAGTATTTCAGCACTATGGAGGATATCATTGGTCTTAAACAATGTTCTCCTTATTGATAATTCCAGTAGTGATCACATCTTGACCTCACTTTTATAAAAGTGACAGAAACCAAATAAACGTCAACAATTTGGCTGTGATCAAGGGAAAACTTGCTGGTCTATTATAATGGATTATTCAATACAACAAAAAGAAGAGGTCTATAACCAGATTTTAGGATTTTAATTTTTGCTGTTGTTCCCTCTGCAATCTGGTTTAATACATGTCATTCAAAAACATTAAAAAGTTGTAAATAGCCACCTACAGAGACTCAAACCACATCAACAGAACATCAAAGACGTCACAGTTCCGCACCACACAGTTAGATTGACAGGTGACCTCCGGGAAGTGCACTGCAGAAACATCAACATAAGGAGAGCTGAGCAGAACAAACAGCAGTGGATCCTGCACCAACAAACCAAAGTCCAGCGTAGAGAGGCTGAGTGAATGTGGTCTGGACTCTGTGCAGGAGAGTCATGGTTTCAGAGACGCTGTAGAAGGACAGAACACCTGCTCTGTGATCCAGGTACACTCCTACTCTGGAGGACTGAGGGCCTGAGACGGGAGTGCTGATGTTGTTATGTCTGAATTCATAACTTTTGTTGAAACAAGCTAAAGCCCAAGCCTTATCATTGTTTCCAAACAAACTTTCATCTCCTGTTCTGCTGATGTCCTTGTATGTGACTGCTACTGAAACTTGTAACCCACTCCACTCCACCTCCCAGTAACAACGTCTGGTCAGACTCTCTCTGCTCAGGACCTGAAACAAGTGGATGAATCTTTCCAGGTTAGGAGAATAAAACTGTTCTTCAAACGTCACTGTTGCTTTTCTGTTCCCCTCAGATAATAGCAGCCGTGTGTTTGCCGTGTTTGGATTCAGTGTGATTTTTTGGGAATATCTTAAGAATTCAGCTCTGGTCCTGGGCTCTGCTGGCGGCAGTAAAATGTCCACATCAGCCACAGTCAGTGAGATCTTGGTCCATTCCTCTTTAAGAATGTCCTGGAGTTTGTCTCTGGCTTCTGACGCAGCTGCTATCACATCCTCAAAGTATCGCAGAGGACGGATATTGATGCTGGGTGAGTCTGGAGAGTCAGTGAGATTTGAAAGCGATGGATAATTGCGTAGGAACTGGATGTGATCTTCTGTACGTGACATTTGCTCCAGCTCATCATCTTTCCTCTTCAGCTCAGTGATCTCCTGCTGCAGTTTCTCCTGAAGCGCTTTGACTCGACTGACCTCAGTTTTCTGCTGCGATCTGATCTGCTGCTTCAGATCAGAGCTTCTTTTCTCCATGAGACGGATCAGCTGAGTGAAGATCTCATCACAGCCCTTCACAGCTTTATCAGCAGAGCGATTAATGGCCTCCACCTCCTGCTGAAGCACCTTTACGACCTCCTCTCTGTCCTGGATTCTCTGCTGGATTTTTTGCTGATTCAGTATGAGATCTCCCTGCCTCTCAGCCCTTTCCGCTGCAGCTGAGATGGTGTTGTGGCCTTTGTGTTCATCCATGGAGCAGAGATAACAGATACACTGCTGATCAGTGCGGCAGAAAATCTTCATCACTTCATCATGACGAGTACAGATGTTCTCCTGGAGCTTCTTGGAGGCGTCGACCAGTTTATGTTGTTTAAAGGCAGGAGATTCATAGTGAGGCTGGAGGTGCTGCTCACAGTAAGACACCTGACACTGCAGACAGGACCTGAGAGCTTTCAGTTTTCTCCCAGTGCAGAAATCACAGGCCACATCTTCAGGTCCGGCATAGCAGTGATCAGCTGGAGCAGCTTGGAGTCCAGTCTTCTTCAGTTCCTCCACTAACTCTGCTAACATGGTGTTTTTCACCAGGACAGGTCTCGGTCTGAAGGTCTGTCTGCACTGAGGACAGCTGTGGATCCTCCTCTGATCCTCTTGATCCCAGTGACTTTTAATACAGTTCATACAGTAGTTGTGTCCACAGGGAATAGTCACTGGATCCTTCAGTAGATCCAAACAGATGGAACAGCAGAGTTTTTCCCGGTCCAGCTGAATTCCTCGCTGCGCCATTTCACCTCTGAGAGATAGGAAATGTCAACTACTTTCACTTTCACTTTCATATGAAGGGTTGAAGCTGTTCAGCAGAACTTGATCTGTAGTGTATATGGCTTGTTAGCTTTTACACTTCACAGCATGTTGGTTATACTCATCCATACACTGTCAGGTCTGCACAGAACAAGAAACACGTAGACTGAATGGGAGTGACTTTGTTTGAGAACAAGAAAAAGCCGTTGGGGGTTTTCAAGGTTTCATTCTATCAGCAAGTCGAGCAATTTCAGTGGCGCAGAGTATAGTTACACACCCTGTTTACAACATGGAGATTAGTGTATGAGACATAAACTGGACAAGTGAAACCTGAAAACACTTGATATTCTCATGTAGAAAAATACAGTAAATATTCTCTCTTGCTGTTGGTGGACAGACCTTTAACCCTTTGTATCCTCCAGGATTATTCACCTAAACGTTCACAGTGAAGCTGTTCAGTTAACGAGAGGACCGTCCTTCAGCTGTGTCTTCTTCAGTAGTGTTTCTAATTTGGGAAAATTGCTGAATCCACACCTGCTCTTCTGATTGCACTTGGTTGTGTTTTAAAGGGTAAAAGGCCTCAGTTACACTCTCATATGTTTTTCACATTCATTTCCTAGACATAACTGAAGAAATATTCACTCTCTCAGTGATTCACTACATTCAAGATGGTGGAAACCACATGTTCTTGCTTAGCCAAGATAGATAGTGTTGACAAATGCCCAGATGTTACCACTTGAATGAGCTGAAAAATGGACTATACATTCTGCTCCCAGGATGACACATCAGGTGGCATTCTGACACCAAAGGGGGGACATTGGGATTCACTATATTCAAGATGGTGGAAACCACATGTTTTTCTGTTCCACAGGCAAAAGAACTCACTCCTCCAAAATCCTCCATACTTCACACCTGGGGACGACCCTCTCCCAGCGACCTTACTGAACAGTGAGTGTTGGTCATCGTGTGACATGTGACCCCCTCAGACAACTAAACCAGCTCCCCTCCATTGTTCTGTCTGTCTTCCCTCTCAGCTCTCTGTGGGGGTAACAAGGCTCCCGGCACTGCTGCTACCTGCAACCACAGCTCTCCCCTGCAGGCCTGCTCACAGCAGACTGCAGCACTCCTCTTTTTCCTCCTCTACAACACACGGCCACACAAACAGGACTTCACTCCACCAGGACACCTCACAACTCACTTAACTTTACCTGCAACCCTGGAAAGGACCTCTCTCTTTTGTTCCTAGGACTGGGTAACGACTGGGCCTTACCTCACCTAGCACAGCATAGCATAGCATAGCACAGCGCAGCTAAGCAAACCAAACCGTGTGTTCGCACACATACCTGTAGCACGTCCCAGTATTAGCACCATTTTTAACCTGGCACCCTTTTAGACTACATGAGTTGGATAGACAAAGAAACTCACTCCCACCCTCCCCCACACACCATCTGGTCTCAGTAGCCATCTTTGGCCTTCTTGAGTAGTTTCCCACCATCTTGTGGTGGTCTTCCTTCTTTAGGCCGCGTAGAAACAGTGACTATTTTGAGCCTTTGTCCGTCTCATTTTAAAGTTATTATTCAATATTAACATTTTTACATTAATATTTCATTAATTTATGATGGCCAATAAATTGATAAACAACCAATGCCCAACATATGGTGTCTTGTGTATTAAGTTGAGCACCAATGCCCGACATTGTTAACCACTTGATAAATCCTGTCAACTGAACAGAAGAAACAAAAAATATTACAGAAGGAGTACAAGAAATAATAAACAGAAGAACTACGTAGACCACATAACAGATTAAAGGTTCCATAATGAAAACAAAGTTATAACAGGGAGGTGTTTTTTATATCTATATATAATATTGATTTTAAAAGTCGGGTTATTTCCCTACAAATCTAACAGTCAAATGTCCATTTTTAAATGTTTCACAGTAATTGTCCAGTTCATTAATTTACTAAAACACTTGACTAACACTTGACAAATATGAAATGCCTTCAAATTCCTTCCTGAGTCCCTCCTTTCTTTTAGAGATCTCTCACAAATCTTACGTTTACTGCTAAAGTGAACCGAACAGGTCCATTAAATGCTTTTTGAAGGAGGTTGACTAACAAGCACAATCAGCTTGTTACTCATTTTAACCAATCAGAAGCCAGAGCTGACTTCAAACTTCAAATGATTTACAGCTGATTACACGGTACGGCTGCCGTCATTAACCTGGATTTATGACTGCTGCTCAGCGAGGAGTATTGAAAAATCACATTTTATATTTGTTCAGTACTACTACTGTTTGTATTGCAGCACCAGCAGTGTTACCACTACTTTCAGTACTACTCCTTCTCGTCATCCTCATCAGTTCCCACAAAAAACAGACTTGACGCACATGCCTTTGAAAAAGGATTGTGTTTTATTTACAGTGATTTTCATCAGTATTACAATACAAATGATTTGTAGACTCCACAGACGGAGAATTCAATCAGAGCTTGAGGAGGACAGCTGGAGGCTGTTTGTGTGTGTATGTGTGTGTGTGTATGTGTGTGTGTGTGTGTGTGTGACAGTAGAGTGCATGGCAGCTTTGGCAGAGTGAAAGTCCTTGGGTGTATCTGTAGCCTCCTCCTCTTCTCTGCCTCCTCTTCATTGTCCTGTTCAGTGACTCTCACCTTTCTTCCCCACAACCTGCGAGGCACCAAAATAAAATAATCATCCAGTGCAAACACACTCACAAACGAACCTGAGCATGAACAAACGCAGGCTGCTGTAACTGCTCCATACCCTTTTGAAGTCGTTCATGTTGGTGGCCTGTACTGGGGTGCCTATGAATGTCAGGTAGTTGATTTTTGTCGTCTCCTCGTCTCCTTGGTTCGACTTGACAAACAACTGGTTAAAGACAAAAACAAAAAGACAAATACAATCAATAAACATACTACACCAGTTAAACCTGTGGGTCTTGAACCATTGGATGGCTCTGCTGGCAACATGTTAGTAGAGGCAGACATGCAGTGAAGGTTTCTGTTGGTTGATCATTCACATCAGTATATCGCCATACAAAGCACAAACTACTCTGCTGATGGTTCAGAAAAATAAAGCCTCCTTATATGATCCATTAATAATTACAAGTTAACACAGGTGGGCAATGTAAGGGGTGTGCGAGTGGTGCCGCATCCTTCCTGCATTACCTCTGAGTGCAAACATTATTTCATGGTCTTAAATAGTAAATACAAAATCAGAAGAAGAAAAGGCTTCACGCCGCCAACACTTTTCATATTTCATATGAGCCAATAAAAAACAGCTTTACTTGAACTCAGAGCAGGTGCACATTTCTTTGCGCATGCTGAAATCATGACTTCTGTCTGGTCCTCACCGTAACACTCTGGACGTTCTGAAACTTGACGTAGCGCAGAGGAATCAAACCCTCGTCTTTGTAGTCTTCCTCTGACAGCTCCAGAGTCTGAGTGGCTTCGCTCCGCTCTGCGTCGTCGAAGCCCATCGACCGCGGGAGATTGATGAACACCTTCATCACCTTAGGGGCTTGGGCTGACACACAGAAGGACGAGCAAAGGAAAAATGAAGGGAAGGAAGGATGGAGAAAGGTACACAATATTAGTTATGGTTGGCTGTAGATGATGCATTGACTGCATGAGAGAGTCAGATTAAAAACACAAGCAGAATAAAACTTACCAAAGTCTGACGACTGTAGCTTCATAGAGAAGAGCTTCACAGGCTGGTTGAAGGCCATAGTTATCAGCAACTGGACCAGATAAAAAAAATCAAAGGCAACATATTAGACAAATTATCTTCCCGCCAATAAATTCAACTCAAAAATAGAAAACACTAAAAATGGGGCTAAATATGTGAAGATTGTCCTGAGGCAAAAACTCACCCTCTCTTAAGTATTTATGTGTTCAGTCATTTTTCTTGGTGGCATTTTACCTTTTCCACTAAGGGGAACTTAACAACCTGGAACCCGGAACTTCTCATAGCTTTTAATAACCTGTAGGTCCTTGTTTGTAACTTCCACCTTGTGTTTCCGCTGTGTTTTATTAACAGAAACCTTTTGGACTATTGCCGTTAAAAAGACGACACCAGGATGAATGTCCTTTATATGCAATGTTCGGTAGGTAGAGTGGACTGCAGATTAGTTGTGGGATAGAAGTTAATGGAATTTTTGGCGACTTATTTCACATAAACGTGGTGACTTATAAAAATCCGTATCATGATATTAATGGAAAGACCTCATCCACAGCAGGAGGTTGACAGAATGGAGAACAAAGAGAGAGAACAGAAGCCCGGCACCAGACCAGCTCCCACCCTGCTGATTAGCTTGTTGGGTAGTCTGTACCAGTTGCTCACTCCTGTTGTCCTGTGTCTACTTTCAGATATCAGCCTCGTTTTACTGTTTGCTGATTGCTCTCCTGTGCTGGAGCACGTGTTAAGCTACTGCTGATGCAGACTGAACATTTCCTGCTGTTACTGTTCATGACAAAAGCTTTCCACTGGCGAACCAGGGACATCTTTTCACTCTGAGGAAATGCAACGTGATTACCACCAGGTTTATGGAACTTCATTAGCGGTGCTATATGCTAACATATGGACGTATTCTGTGCAAATTGATTTTTACACATTGGACGGAGGAATGGTACAAACGGCCACAGGGAGTTGAAAAGGTCTGCAGGTGACAGGCTCGTACTGTGGTACATGGGACTACCACACCTTCCACACATCATCAAGGTAAACACCCAACTTGCTGCGCGGTGCATGACGTGGACATGAAGTGGCAGCGCGTACCTGTTCATCACAGTCAGACTCCAGGTAGGAGGAGTCTTTGATTAAGCAGTTATCAAAGCCACAGTCGTCGCTCTCGTTGAGGCACTCGCAGCCGGCTTTGTTGACAAAAGGCATGAGGTCCATCTGAAAACAAACCGAACAAGACAAACTCAACTTCTGGGTCTATTTCCGCCTTTATTTAAGGTTTACACACATCCCTTTGAATGAAGCAA